AAAATCGTCGGTTTTCTTGCCGCAGCCCCGCGAGCCCCGTTATCGAGCGTGGTCGGTAACGGAGTGAACACGTGGTAGTTTTGGCAGCGCCGTTCGCCGCCGCTTATGATTAATTCAATGGCATACTTCAACCAGTTTCTCTCGTAACACGCCTGTCTCTTCCAGCACACGCGCAACGTCCGACAGTTCCGCGCTCCTTCGAAGACTCAGAAGCCGAAGTCCATCTACTTCCGTCGTCGCTCTTGCAAGAAGCCAGAAGAAAAGAGAGGAAAAGAAAGGAGCAAGGGAGGAAGGAGGAGGGAAACAAGGGCAGGAAGGAGGGCGCAAAAATGAGAGCAAAGCCGTGTGCCTATGACTGTGTTCAAATATAGCGTCGGCGGCTGCTCGCTTATAGCCATTCGTGTTCCCTTACTTCGCAACATGCATCCGCATCTATATTCATGTTTGCACCGAGTTCTATCAATGACACGCTATCAAGAAGTTGTACAAAAGCTGTTACACATACAGCGTCTTTCGCTGTATCTGTGTTTTCCCGCCGACCAGGATAACGCGACGCGTGTCAGGAGACGCTGTTTATAGATTCCGCGCGCTGCGAACTTTCTCAATTTTTTACACGGGCGGGGCGGAGGGGGGGGGGGGACGGAGAAGGACGAAGTCGCGTCTGCGATTTATTTCGAGAGAACATGCTGTTAGTATTCTAACGCCGTACAAATTGATCGTTTGACATATCTCACAGCGCGCGATAAACTGTCTGCATATTTATTATATTCGCCGCTAAAGTCGTCGCTGTTATAAATTATCGCCTGACGTCTCTGACTTATCATTCGGAACGCAGACGGATATTTCTTTTTTGCGACGATCTCTCGTGAAAGAAGAGATTAACGATTTGAGATAATATATGAAATGATATGCAACAACTTGTACAGTTACACAATAATTATGTAGATAATTACAGACGATAGCTCATATACGTAAATGCGCTTATGTAAAACAATTAGTGCTTTGAGGAACAGAGCAGTGTGCGCAGCGTTGGAGAGAGTTCTCAAACATAATTGTACTCATAATTGCCCGTGCAAAGAGCTTGAAAAAGTAACCTTTTAATATTCCATTGCGCTAACTTACGGCAGACTCGAAAGTCTTTGGGCGAAGCGTCGTGCAATGAAAGCTAAATCCGGCGCCTAGCGAGAGTCGCGGTCTCTGTTTCTCTCTTTTTTCTTTTGTTTCTTTTCGCGGGGCTTACAGTTGCGTAGCAATAAATATCAGGCTGTATTGCGATGCAAGAGGAAGAGGAAAAGAGCATCGGGCGGATATAAAAGAGAGAGGAACGGGGTGAGCTCGATTAAAAGCATTCGCGCCATCGTTCGCAGCCCACGATTGCTCCCTCTGAAATATTCAAAAGAAGCCGTTAAATAAATCCCTCTCTCCGTTCGCTACGGCTTCCGCGAGGCCAGCCCGCGCCGCCCTGCACCTTCGAGCTCGCGACGTTCAAACACACGCGCGCCGCTCTAATCCCCCTGAAAGCGTGCCGCGTGTCAACGGGGAAATTATTAATGAGTCGTATTGTGTCCCGAAGGTCTTTCCTTTCGAGAGGCAGGAATCTTCCGCGCCTCGTTTACGCCGCGTTTAATAACCGTTCAATAATCCTGCACCGGATACAAAGCACCGGAGCCATTACGCTGACGCTCCTTCGTTCACTTCACTCAAACAAGCAACGTCAGGATGAAGCAATCTCGCGAAAGGGACATGCAAATTCGCGCGAATTCGTCGTTCGCTCTCGGTAGCTCTCGAGAGCTCAGCGGTAAGTCGAGTTCGCGCGGGAGACAGGAATCGTCTGCGACAAATATCACATGACGACATCCGTCTCGCGTGATACATCGACACACACTTCGCGCGGCAGAAAGAACTCGAGAAAGAGAGAGACAGAGAGAGAGAAAGAAAGAGAGAGAGAGCGAGGCAAAAGACAGGTAGACGACGAGGTAGTCCGGCCCAAGGGTATGCTCTTGCATCCAGGTCGCGTACAAAGATCCTTATTGGTAGACGAAGGCAAACCTCACGAAGACGCCGGAAGCTCTTGTCTCTCGGGAGCTTTCGAGAGAGCTTCGTCTACGCGCTCTCGAGGTATCCCGCTCGGTGCGAATCGCTCCGAGGGCGAGCCCGGGTTTCCCTTGCGCGACGTTGAGGCGAAGCGTTACGAAATTCGACACCCGGTAGAGCGCGACGCCTCCGACGCCGATCGCGTGTGCGTGTGTGTATATTCGAGGCAGAAGAAAGCTTTTACGCACGAATATACACGCGCGCGGGCAGACGTCGTCTGGGAAAGACCCAGCTAATTTTGCTAGCCGCGCCGCGCCGCGTCGGGACGACTCGCGTCCCGGCGACCCGATGCGAACGAGTGCCTTTCTGGACCATCACGCAGCCGAGATTCGCGCTGGCAAGCCACTCGTCGGCCGATCGATCGATCGATCAACGATCGGCGGATATTCGGATTTCGGTGAAGAAGCTACGATTTTCCGCGTGCGCGATCTTTCTCAAGCGCTCTTCAGACCCGACCGGTCTGACGCGATCGCGTCTGTATCTATCTGAAAGCGCGAAATCTTTTTTTCGCGCGAGTCGCGAGACGCGCCGCGCGTATGTACCACGGCGGGAAAAGGCGAGTCGTTTCTGCTTCCCAGAAACATTCGCGACTCGTATTTCGTTTGCTCGGACGAATTTGAACGGTATTTGCGATGAGCGATATTTGCACCTGCGAGGAAAGTAACATCAAACGCTGAGTCGCGTTTCGTTGGGCTCGCGTATATTTTATAGCTGTTCCCGTCTGTCGTGACGTCACCTTTTATCGCCACCTCTGCTCGGGAAGAAGCGCTGTGCTTGTAGTTTAGTTTAATTTTACTTCGCGAAGTCATCTTTCTCTCGCACATTAACCAATTTGCGCGTTACCAGCAGCATCAAGCTAATTACGCGGCGAGACACTCCGCTTCGCCGTCTCGCGCGTGATATTTGATTAGTGGCGAGTTTTTCGAAGAAAGCCCGTGCTTCGCGGGCAAACTCCGTAACCCGGTCGAAATAATTAAATACCCCGGCGGACTCGCCGGTATTACTGTATTTCTAAATGTGACCGCTGTTTTGCAGAATTTCATTTCCCGCGCGCTGAATTCTCCGCCGACTACCACGGCGGCGGCGAAGTCAAGCCGGGCGCTGTTCTAACGAAACATTCGTGATAAAGGGGCGAATTTAATTACGAGCCCGCGAGATGTACAATACTCGCGTGGAAACATAACGCAGCATCGCGCGCGCAGTTGCTCCGTTGCTGCAGTTCCGAACTAAAAGTGAAAAACTCACAAGGCACGGAAGTGTAAACTGCCGTCGCGGCCGCCGCGCCGCGCCGCGCCGCACCGCGCCGCGTCGCAACTGGCGCGCGGCCGCCGCGAATAAAAGGATATCCCACGCAGCCTGGACGATAATCCGTCAAGCGCGAGCGCGCAGAGCACGGGCGAACTTATCGAGGAAAATTATGCGTCACCGGCTGCGACGGCCGGAGTGACGGCGACGACGACGAACGAATGGACGCTCTATCGGGAGAGCTTTTCAAGTTAGCGCTACTTTCCAAACACCCGGTTTGGCTCGCGGAAAGAACAAGAAGCGACGGCGGCCGCCGCGCGCGCGACCTGGACCTTCGGACAGTAAAGTTAATGGACTTCATTTACATTGCATAATTGCGACGAAAGCGGAGCCAGCACTCAAATTATACGCGAGGACCAACGACCAGAACCGAGAGAGCAAAGGTGCCCTTTGAATATTCGGTATGCTTAAAACACTCATTTACACTGCACACGTTCGTTAAGTACGCCGCGCGCGAGGCTGAGAATTAATCGGCTTGCCGGACGGCGTAAACGCGCGAGAGGCCTACGTAAAGCTGAGCGCAGTAAAGGCGAGAGCGCAGTGCGATAATGCGTTTGCGAAATTGTCGGGTCGGATTAATTCAATCGCCGCCAATATCGAGACACGACGGGACGCATTCTCTTGAATCTTTCCCCTCCGCGACTCTGATGATTTATCAGCGATCCTTTCGAGAGACTTGTCGTACAGGTTGCGCGAAAAATATCATTTCAGCCTGTCCATTTCCGTATAATCGCGACATATATCACCATAAACCGGCGCCAAGCGTCGGATAAAGATATATATCGAGGCGCGTACATAACGTTTTCGGCTTTCTTCATCTCACCTGGCGCATACACGCGCTTACGGAAGCGCGTGGGCTTAGCGCGCTGCCATGCCGGCCGCCGCGCCGCGCCGATTGCGTTAGACCGGCGCCACGAGACCGAGTGGAGATCGAGAAAGAAAGAAAAAAAGCGTTATCGATAATCGGCCGGACACTTTCCGCGCGACGGCGCGAATGAGCGATGGCGACGACTCGCGCGCCGTATCCCCCCAGATCCGAGGCGATAACGCGAGCGAGCGCCGTTGCGTTCCGCTCGCGGAGTCTCGCGAATGCGAATGCAAATCGCGGCTATCTATTTCAATAACGATAATCCCGCGCAACACACCGCGGCTGGAAAGCAGGCACGTGGTCGAGTATATCGGCGCAAATCGCCGGCGCGCGCGCGCGAGTCGCCGGGGTGCCTGCGCGGCTGCGCAGGCCGCAGATATCAATCTCATCGATCAAGAGGAAATTGCGTTCGTCTCGACACGAGCGCGTCGTCGCGTCATCGTGCAAGCATCGTTGTTTCTTTCGCAAGCGCATGCACCGACGCGTCAGCGCACCGGAGCGTCGCACATATCCGCGTTGGCGGAAGCTTTCAGCGCGTCCGCGCTGAAGAGAACATCGTCGATAAAGCGACGAGCGGGAAAGCGGACGAAGCCGTTGCGCGAACGAACGAGAAAATCATCAGTTCTTTTCATCGGGCCTCCGATTATTTATTCGTCGTCGTGTTTCCCCTCTTCCGTGTCACCGAGCCGCCTCCGCGATGGAGACAACGGAGAACGAGTACTCGGGAACTTACGTAGCTCCTGTACGATGTCATGATCCCTCGCTCCACTTTGAGACGCCGAGGAGACCGCGGAAGAGGGAGATGGCTCCTCCGAGGCGCTTCCTCCAGCCAGGTTCACCAACCACCACCCACCAGGTCACCACGAGCACCCACACCACCGTCGCACGATTCACCGGCGTCTCGCGCTGCCTACGGCGGGACGTTGAAGAGGAGAGGGCAAGTCGCGCGGTATCAAGGTCACGCGCACGGAGAGCCGGCTCGCTCTCGCTCGATCGGACGGTCGAACGATTCGAGGAAGGCCTGTTCGCGCGGCCTTCTCCGCGAGAGGAAGGTGGCGAGCGCTGTGAAGGCGTTTCGTTTCGGACGAAGCTTGGACCCTGAAGAACCGGCGACCCGCGAGGCACGCCGCGGGTCCCTCGCTCGCTCGCTCTCTCTTTCTCTCTCTCTCTCTCTCTCTCTCTCTCTCTCTCTCTTCCTCCCTCTCCCTCTTCTTCTCTCCTTCGCCCAGTTACTCTTTCTCTTCTCACTCGCGATCTCGGCGCCTCCTCTTCTTCCTTCTTCTCGTTCCTCGGCTTGCTCCCTTCTGCTCGCCTCGTGAAGCTACGGGACCAACTGCTCCTCGTCGTTCTCTCTTTCTCTCTCTCTCTCTCTCTCTCTCTCTCTCTCTCTCTCTCTCTCTCTCTCTCTCTCTCTTTCTCTCCTCTCTCTCGCGGCCGCTCACTCGAGCCCTATTTTAAGAATAGCTTTATACCTTCGCCGTCTCGCTCGTCGCTCCTCCGCTTCCTCTTCTTCTTCTTCTTCTTCTTCTTCTTCTTCTTCTTCTCCCTCTGCTTCGTACTCGTGCGCGCGGCCGCGAGGGAAGAGACTACTAGGGCCGCGGATAAATCTCGCGGCGGTACGTGCATTTCCGCTCGGGCGGAAACGAGCTCGCGACGTTGCGAAGGAAGAAGAGCGGTCAATGAGGCTGTCGGCGGGGTCGACGGAGTCACAGAGGTGGAATGACAAACGAAGCTCGTGTTTAACCTTAGACTTGACGAAATTGCTACTCGCGAATATTCGCTCCGCCAATTGATCTGCGGATTCAGGCAAAGTCTTCATTCGGCGACTTTCTTTCCTTCCCGGATAGAAATTCCGTATTTCCGTCTCGAGCAATTTGTTGTTCGCAAGGTTGCACATCGCCGAGCGGCGTTCGTTTGTTACAGAAATCGAGTGCGTTCCCACGGTCAGGTCGAGCTATTTAACACGCGGTCGAAACTTGCCTATCCAGTCATCGGATCTCGAAGAGTACTCGCAATCGCCCGATATTCCGCAAGCAAACGGCCCGTCCTGGAGCGGGAACAAACTACTTGCGAAACTATGAGCGTCTTTATCCAGGAAATGAGGCCAGTGTCGGCGCAGGAGCATTACCAGCGGCTAGATCCTCCGCACGTTCCGTCCGCGAGGCACCCGCAGCACTCCCTGAGCGCAGAAACTGCTTTCCGAGGGAAATCTGTGCCTGCGAGCGCGGTACCTGCAAACAGGATTTACATCATTATCGTTAGCGGGATCGGAGCGATACGGAAGGGCAAGGACGAAGGACCCCTCGCGCGATCCGCGAGGAACTCCGCGAAGAGTCCCGCCGAGTTCCCGCCAAGTTGGCGCTGGAATGCTGAAGAGTCTCGACTTCAACGTCGGACTGATTAATTGCGGGGATTCTCCTGAGTTCGAAAAGTTCCGACGCGCTCTCGTCGTGCAAATATTTACTCACGCAAATCAGGCTTTTTTGCCATTTTCTTTTCCCTATCAACTTACCCGGCGTTATTTACGAAAGGAGCAATTCTTGACGAGAATTGTGATTTCTTGATGATCTTTCCTACTCTACCAAGAGTAGGAAAAACAAAAAAAAAACGCTAAAACATTCAATAGTTCGCAATTTAATCACGAGAAAATCTATTATAGCTGAAATCAATTTGTGTTAATGAGATTTAATTTTATCGGACAAATATAAAATATTTCGGATATATATACCATATATATATATATATATATATATATATATATGTACGAATGTGACGATTATGATTAATTAATTAACTTTACATTATTCATTAGTATGATATTTCAGTCAATTTTGGATACATATTTGATAATCCGCCGATAATTAATATTCCTCTGTCTCTCTGGCAATTACCGAGTAGACTTTGTGCTGCCAACCCACGTGAAGCATTAGAACGATATCGTTTCGCCAAGCCACGCGGTCGACTGATAAGTTCTGCGTCTGAAGAGAGACAGAGCGCTGTCGTGTTACCCGTGGAGACGTGGAGCAGAACTTGGACGTTCAAGTTGAGAGCTTTCTAAGCCGGTGGCGCTACAGGAATACTCACGAAAGCTCTCTGGAGCTTTTCAAAGCTCCGACAGCGGTGATGAACGCTTCTGCGGATAATGTTATACGAAATAACATATCGAATGTAATTTGCGTCAAAATCGTCCGCCCTCGTCGCGGACTAATTGCGATTTAATTGCTCCACCTGTTGACGTTGGCGATGCGTTATTAACTACTTCTACGCGATATGTCAGCTGTTAAAGTTGCAACGCACCATTAACCAACCCTGCGCAACGTATTTATACTGAATGTCCTCGATAGATCATCTTTCCATCCACCTGTATCGTCCATCGGACTGCTCCATTTTCGCCGTTAAACAGCTCGATAATTAAAAATCGCATCTGTCTCGAATCGAATCCGTTCAAAACTAACATTTTTTATTACGTATTTACGAACACGAAACCTGATCCTGATCGCCGAACGCCGCCGATTTGTCATCCTTTTCGTAACTCGAAGAGCTATTCGTGTTCTGACGTCGAGACGTCCGTGACTTTGCTTTTTTGCAGATTCGTCAGTAGTATCTCTCGTTTTGAGGGAAGAAAAAGGGAAAAACGTTGAAACCTCGGGAATATTTTGTAAATCGTGTCAATCTTCTCATGTATCACCTCGACGCGATTGAACCGTGTCGCGGGACAAACCCGAGAGGAATGTTAGGCTTAAACTCGTTACCTAAATCCGCCACGACGTTGATAGATTCCACGTAATCCCCGTACGTGCCGCGACTTAGCCGCGATCAGCCGCTCGGTGTCGCTAATTAATTTCGAACGTTGCAAAGGATAGCGGCGCAAAAAGTTCTACTCTCTCATCGAGCGTCTCGATCTCGTCCAAACGCATTTCGTGCCAAATATAGACACCGTGTGTATAAACACTATGACAGTAACAAAGATGTCTGTGTTTCTTCTTTGACAGCTTGTGATAATGATGGAACGGGACACGATCGTAGACTGTCAATCTGCACGTTATTCGACCGCACGACAGCGTGTGATGAATCCAGTGCATTGTGGACGTGATGAAGCGGAAAATTGAAAGTAACACACCGCGTACGCACCTTCGCGATTTTATTTTCGGATTTTCGAGAGTATTCGTTTATATTCGTCCCGCGGGATACATCGAAATTGAAAATAGAAAACTGTCATGGTGAGATCAACACGCGACCGAGCGGGAGAAGTTGATGGCATTTCGTATGTCTTACCCCACTTTCTCAGTAGATATAGACGTGTATTCTTCAGACAGGAATAGAGCGACTTAGTCATCCCGAGTTTCTCCGGCAATGCCGAAAAGCTTTGGCCCGAGTTTTTCGTGGCAATTTTGGACGGTGAGTCAACATCGTCATCGTGAATTGCAAACACGCTTAAGCGGCGAATTAATTTCTCATGAAACTAAAAAAGAGAGGAACAAAGAGAGAGAGAGAGAGAGAGAGAGAGAGAGAGAATGGCGCTTTATTCACAGCAGCAAACTATTGAAAAGTTCGCACGTGATCTCCATTGCCCTCGTGATACAAACGGATGCATTCTGTATTTTAATAAGAATCGATTTGCCACTCTGATGAGCGTAAGATTTACATAATAATTTTATACAATAGGAGAGCGTGTCCTGTATCTTTTATGAGCTCGGTTATATTATATTTGGCGCGGTTATATGCAAATCGCGCGCGATCAAAATTGCAGATTACGTATTAGCGTGCGCCGGCTCGATTTACATCTTAAAAGCCGGGCATATCGTATTGTTTATCGTCGCGGGAACTATTTTCAAAACGCGCGTTGTTGTACGGCGGACAAGTCGCCGTGAATGGCCGGTATATGGTATGTCGAGAGAAACCGCGCGTGATCTTGCCGAAAAATGTGTCAATCGTAAATTTATATATATATAAAAATGTGTCAATCGTATAACTTTATCTTCCGCGACGACGACGCGAACGAATTCCAACAATAAGCCGAGCCGATCTCGGTGATCGCGAGACGCACACGCGTCTGTGCAGCAACGTCAGCAACGCGGCGCGCGTATAACCGTGTCCGTAAACCGTTTCGATCTTCGTCGCTGGATACTGTCGCGTGTTTCATCGTAAATTTAGCATCTTCATCATTAGTAAGTGGCTCCTGGTAGCCGTTTGAAAAGCCACCTGTTGCCACCTCTTCCTGAATTCTAACCCGATGGGCTCTATAATTATCGAGCAAAACGCGCGCGGCAGGTGCGGAATTACAAGAAACAGCCGAAAATCCCGTTATAATATGAAAACGGAGCGCGATATTAATAAAACGCGCGACGGACGGGACAGGCGCTCGAACGCACCCCGTTTTCGGCGATTTGCAAAATTCCACTGAATTCCGCGCGCGCGCGCGCGCGCGCGATCTCGACGGGATGCTCGGTTCCTGCGAACATTCGACCGGCAACGGGAAAGTTGAAGGCACTCGATACAAACGCACGCACATTCGAGTACACAACAGCCGGAAGGGGTGTTATATTTTTAGAAAATTGGAGCACAGCGTGCCGATTCAACCGTTCGGAAATCATTGGTCGTTTTGGGCAAGATTAGCAGAACTTCGCGCACTTCTTCGTCGTATCCGTTCCCCTCGCATCGTCACCGCGTTGTCTCCACGTTGACAACCAGTGAACGAACAGGCATCTGCAATCTGCAGGATCCCTCTCGCGTGTGTGAGCTGAAAAGGAGCCGAGAGGAACTCAGCGAGGGGGTATTCTATTACACTTGTCACGCCGGCGCGCATGAAGAGCGATGTAATAAAATTTTTCCGCGATAAGAAACAGCCGGTGCTCCTGGAGGGTTGAAAAACAAGGAAGACGGATAGATGAGTCAAAAGATTTATAGAGGGAGAGAAAAAACGAGGGTGCGTCTAGCCCCGCTCGAAGGAGTTAAGTAAGGGGTTGAGAGGGAGAGACGGGAGAGCTATTTTAGCGTCCGGTCCGACGATGTGCCACCTCTTCTTCTTCTTCTTCTTCTTCTTGTTCTCTCTCTCTCTCTCTCTCTCTTTCTCTCTCTCTCACTCTCTCTCTCTCTCTCTCTCTCTCTCTCTCTTTCTCTCTCTCTCTCTGACACCTGGAATTCTCCACCAGAGCGAGCCACGTACTCGCGCAAGCTGACGACGAAGGGTGGCGGCGGTGCAAGAGGACAGAGGTGGTGGAAGTGATGAGCAGAACGACGCAGGGAAGGGGCCAATCTCAAATTACTTGGTGAGCTCTCCGGGCTAGGCCGAGCGTGCGAGCATCTTTGCCCACCATCGCCCGGCGACCTTTTATAGACACTCGCCGGTAGTGGGGCAAGGTGGGAGGTCGCGGAAATTGTGCGAAAATTGGCAAATCGACGGGAAAAAGAGGGAGGGCGCGCAAGACTGATCTCGCAGCTAGCGCGCAGCGAAGCGGAGAACGGAGAAGCGGATGAATGTTGATGAAGCGCAGACATTGAAACGCCAATCGTGGAAAGGGGCTCTTCGCGCGGTCGAGCATTCCTCACGACGGTGAGGATGAGACGGTGAGAAGACGACGGCGAGAAGTCACGGCTTCGATGAAGTTGACAGGCCGACCCATCGCGGTAGCTCGCAATAGCGATCGCGGCTCGAGTCGGATTGACTCAACGGCGACGAGACTAGTACCGTCTGAAAAGTTGTTAGCTGTTGATGATTCGACAGAGTGTACCGCGACAGAGCTGGCTGGTTAGAAGCGAGCGCTCCTCTGATACCTCCGGCCAGCCTGCTGGTCGAGCACAACCACGCGCGGCATTCGCGTTTCCCGTCGTCAGATTGTCAACAGCATCGTCCGCGAATACCGAAATGTCTGGCGCGATTTTAGGCACACGACGACTCGGACTCCGCCCGCCTCCGCGGCGCGTTCGCCGCGGAGGGCGGGATCGATGAGTCTCTAGAAATGCATTATGAGCGAGAAATTCCAAACGGGAGACTCTTGACTCAGACTCTTGCGCGCCATCGGGCGCGGGATGGTGCTGCGTAAATAAGGAAACTGCATCAGCGCTCAACGCGCTCTCAGGATCAGGCAAATCACGTAAACAATGTAGGTGCTGAAAATCGCTCTGTCAGCCCTCGCTAATGACGGCGCGAGATTATTTTCGGACCAAAGTCAAACGCGTGCCGAGAACTCAGACACGGTGCGCCCCGTCGCCAACGCTCCTCGCCCACTTTCGTCAGCTGCGTCGAAATATCCATATCGGTCACATTGATGCACATTGATGCGCGCCGCTGCGCGCTGCGCGACGACAGAGAGAGCGCATTATTCACGCGTATGAATCTTCGATCCCAAAACAACTCCACGTTGTTGTGACATGTGCCAGCGCGATGCTGCTCGATCGCTCTCGACATTTTTCTCGCCGGCTGCGCCACGTCACTCCTACGCTAAGCGCCGCCGAGTGGATAGATCTCTGAATGAGTCGGCAGCTCGTTTCATCGATGCTCGATCTACGAACAGCACCCTACCGACTAGACTCTGCGCCCGTCTCTCTCTCTCTCTCTCTCTCTCTGTCTCTCTGTCTCTCTGTCTCTCTGTCTCTCTGTCTCTCTGTCTCTCTGTCTCTCTGTCTCTCTGTCTCTCTGTCTCTCTCTGTCTCTCGCTCGCTCGCTCGCTCTCTCTCTCTCTCTCTCTCCTCTCGCTCGCTCGCTCGCTCGCTCGCTCTTTCTCTCTCTCTCTCCTCTCGCTCGCTCGCTTTCGCTCGCTCTCTCCCTCTTTCTCTCTATTTTCAAGTACACTATACTAAATCGGTACGCACACCGTTTGCGACGCAGTTGCGTCTGCATGTGCACGAGTTCTGGACGAACAATCCCCTTTGGGATGCGTGGGTCGGCCGATCTAATTCCGGCGGCCAAACGCATCGCAAAATGCAAAACGCATCCAAAAGCGCGCTGGTGACGTTAAACCAGGCGTCTCCGCATGCGCCAAGAACAATTAAATCTGGAGCGCCGTGGTCATTTTCCGTCTACGCTACCGTCGCGCGGCTTCCAGGCTGCAATGGCATCTTCTCGCTGTTCATCACGAATTGAAAGTCCTTTCTGTATCCATCGATCGAAGGATATGCTCTGTAATAATTGCGGTAAAAATTGCTCGCCAAGGTACTACTTGAAACTCCATCGATACAACTTGCGTCAAATGAATTCGATATTCCAAGGAATGATCCAGAAGGTCGACTGGACGACATCATCTATGTCCTTGATGGCGCACCTTGAGACTCAATGTACAGCGAGATCGACGAAAGAGCGACACCCTCTCCTTGGCGTCTTCGCCACCGCTGTCGCCGTCGTCGTCGTCGTCGTCGTCGTCGTCGTCGGCCGAGCACAAGTCGATTTGGCAACCGCCTTTGGACAACGTGGGCGTTTAACGTCGCTTGGTGGTTCCCCTCGGCGATGATGAAGACGACAGGAGCGACGACGATGACGAGCGTGCTCGAGCGTCGTTCCTGGTGGGGATTCTGGCGGCAGTGCGCTTGCGTTGCTCGTCATTTTGACGAAGCCATGAAGCGGCCGGCGCGCCATACGAACGACGACGGGTCGCGCACTACGAGTAGGGCGCTGGTCGGCTCCGAAACCCCGAAGAAGAAGAAGAGGAAGAAGAGGACCGCGGGAACAGGACCGGTGGAAGTGGGCTCAACGGACGACCGAGGCCGCAGCGACTTGTGACTTGACTCAGCCAGTGGCGGACAGGACCCCTGCGAACGGAGGGCGCCCGAACAGTGAGGATACGCGAGGAAGGAAGGAAGGAAGGAAGGAAGGAAGGAAGGAAGGAAGGAAGGAAGGAAGGAAGGACTCGAGTCCCGCATAGCAAGCGAAAAGAAGCGGACGACCTCGTCGAGAGACACCGGAGGCTCAGAGGAAGAAGATGTCGTCTTCAGCGATTGCTAAGAGCTCCAAGTACACGTACCGTTCTACGGGCGGTGCGGGCACTGCCGATGTTAGCATCGAATATAGCGCCGACCTGAGCGCTCTCAGCAGACTCGAGGTAGGTTTTCCCGCTCGGGTAAGAGAGTCCTGCCCGCTCGAAGAGCCGTCCTGCGAAAGATCGAGCTGGGAGAGAACGACCGCGATGATCGAGCTGAGGAGGACCTGTCTTTCTCGAGAATCGCTCGCCACGCTCGATTCCTGCGCGCGCGCGCGCGCTTCTCTAATTATAATTCTCTGATTAGCCTGCGAATAATTCGGATGGAATTATTTATAGGCCGCGCCGGGCGCAGAGTTTGCGCTTACGCAGAGTGCAGGTCGGGGAGGTAAAGCTCGCTCGGTGGGACATTTGAATGTCCTCGCGCGCCTCGAGGAATTCGCTGGGAACGAATCTCGAGAAATTCAAGTACGTTGTCATTCACGCAATTCACGCACACAAGACAGGTCGATCCTTCGGCGCGAAGGTGCATCCGCACGCGCATCCCGGGGCTGCGAGAATTTTGGCCGCGCCGACTTGGAAATTCCCGCAGCCCCGGCCGGCGCGCGTCGTGTCGGAAATTCGTCCAAGCACTTCTGCGAAGGCAGGCTGCGGGCAGCCGTCCGAGGTAAGATAGAATAAAGTGCCCAACGTATCGACGAGATCGCCGAGGCATCGGCGTCGAATCGGGAATCGCAGCTCGGGCAGCGACTCCGCGTGCGACGAGCGTGAGGGAGAGAATTCTCCGGCGAAGAGAGAGAGAGAGAGAGAGAGCTCCGGCCCGAGAGAGAACTCCTCGAGGAGACGCGCGAGCGTTCGGCGCGGCGCGGCGCGGCGGAAAGACCGCTTGATCTCGAGGAGGAACGGCCAGCTGGAAATCACTCCCTGCATCGCCGCGACGGGAAACATCAGCGGAATCACACACAGTGACGCGCGACGGATCCGCACGTGAACAATGCGGAGCAGTGACCAATGACGCGAAGGTAGTGAACCGCGAAAGTTCAGTGACCATAAGAGAGATGTTAGTGCCAACCCGACGAGGAACCAAAGTGTACGACCGTTCTGTAGCTATCGGATTGCTCGTGTACGAAAATAGTCGGTGGAATATCGGCCCGAAACGACAATCGTGCCAAGGCGCCGAGACACCGCCGAGGCCGTACCGTACCGATGCCGCTTCTGCGAGGTACCATCGGCGGCGAGGACGACACGACGACGACGACGACGACGATGACGACGATGACGACGACGACGACGACGACGACGCCGCCGCTAATGGCCGCCAAAAAGCCCGGGATCCTGCTCGGGAATCGGGATCCATCGAGGAGCAGGAGAAGGATTCGCCGAGTCTCCCCCGTCTCGTCGCTGAGCTCGCGCGACGGCGTATTTCGTAGCACGAGAGAGAAGTATGAGGAAGCGTACACGGTCGCCTGTTGCATGCGCAAGTAAGACCATTGCCTCCATCTGCCGCCGATACAGCGGCTGATACAGCGTGTTCTCTCTCTGTGGGTCCTGGCGTGGCGATCTCTCTAACGTGAGCGCGCGGCTTCCTTGCGACAAGCCCGCGCTCGGCGGCTCGGCCGCGCGGCGGAGGTGCGCTGCACCGGACGTCGCGGCTCGCGTCGTTCTCTCCTACTCCTCCCCGAGGACGCACCTATTCGCAGGCCTTCGGAGGCCGTGCGTCTTTCCGAAATACCGAGCCTCCGCTCTCGGGTATTTTTGTCGAGCGATTACGTAAAGCGTCGCGACCCTCTATAACGGGCGCCGTGGTCGACCCTCTAATCCTCATTGCCTCTCTTTTCAGGACAAAATCCGCCTACTGCAGGATGACCTGGAGTCTGAGAGGGAGCTGCGTCAGAGGGTGAGTGCCGAGAGGAGAGAGAGAGAGAGAGAGAGAGAGAGCGTTTTCGTTTGCTCCCCGCTTGCCAGCCGAGCGAGTCTTCCCTCGCACGTTAATCCCTCACAGCACAGCGGACGGATCTCACCGATCCGGTCCGCTGTGCAATGTCCGATTACTCGCCCTTCTCGTAATATCCGAGGCGGATACTCGCAACGAGTGGCAAATTGGAATTGATTGATGACTAATTGCTAGATCAAATCTAGATAACCGGCGTGGACGCTTAGCGTGTCAACTAATTATCTCGTCATAACGAGTCATCCGAGCGCGGCCGAGGGATGCACGTTCGTTTCGGTGCGCTTGTCTCGCTGGCAGCCGCAGTTCTCTGCTTACGTCACGCGTATTCTGTAACAAACGTGACCAAAGAAACCGAGAGACGGAGGGCCAGCTTCTGCGGTGAATTGAATTGACCGACGAGAGTTCGATTCTCCTCGGACGAGGAAGTCGGCCGACGGTCCTTTCCCCGCGAGAAAGCTCTTCTATTTTTCTCCGCGGCATCCACGAGGCAAATCTCGAGACACGAGCCCCGAGTGGGCGAAGAGCTCCTCCGTCGGGAGTTACCGAATTAAAGTTCCTCGCCGAGCAAGTGTCAGTTATCGTCGGGGTATCGTCGCTTGAGAGACGGACATGAAAAGGAACCAAGGATGCTCCGCTCCACTGGCAGAGTGGGGAGCAGTAGGTCGAAATGTCCAGCTCTTGAGCAGCGTCTATTTTTGGGGACGCGAGTCTCTCTCTTCGGGATCGTTCCCGCATTCCTGCGCTGTATTCAACACGTGCCCGCTCTTATAAGTGAGAAAAACACTCGGTCTCGCACGACCCTCGTTTGAGAGATTGAAATATGTTCGTAAACGCATTCGCATTCGCCGCGTGCCCGAGCGTGCACGCCGCAGTATCTAACGCGGAAAACGCGCGCGCGCGCGCGCGCGCGAGACACGAAGAGGAAAAAAGAAAAGAAAAGAGACCGTCCGCGCTCGAGTTCTCGCGCGAATTCTCCGCTTTCGCGCGAAACCGCCCGCGCCGGTCTCGGCTCTCGGCTCTCGGCTCGGCCAGAAAGCGGGCGCAATTTCGTCGCGCATTCCGCGCACATCCGGCGGGAGATTGCGCGCGAGAGCCGGCATTCCAGCGCGATAATATTTAGACAGTTGCACGCGCGTATATTACGGCTGGATCATCGCGCGGCTGTGAATTTACAAGAACTTCTCGGGTTTCATTGTGCGTTAAGTTTCCGTCGAAGTCAAACGTGTGTGTAACGCGGCCGCTGTAATACGTGACTTGAGCGATTGCCAACAATTTTCCTCGAGCTTCGAGGCTGTAAACTGCTCGGAAACTGAAACGCCGGTTAACACGGCGTGCGTACGCTTTCGGAACACGATACATATTTCACGCGCGCGACACACGCGAATACACGCAACGCACGCATTCGCGCGGAGACCGCAAACGCCTGCGATTACTGGCGATCCGTTCTTCCCTCGCGATTCCTCGCGAGTTTCCGCCCCGAGTGCGTCTCGAACAAAGCGACCGTCCAGCCGCGACGCCTATCGGGCCACAAAAAGCAATCGCGACGGTCGGCTCGACGCAACGGGCCGCGGGGCAATCGACGTCGTGATCCTCTCTTTTCGCAATAAACGCCTCGTTTGTAATACGAATAAAGCTCCCGATATAGACGCGCGCCGCGTCCGAAATTAGATCGTTCTATTCGCGCTGCAAAGAAATCTGACGTCAAGCTCGGCGACGCCGAAAACATCGGCGGCGCTCGATGTCCTCCGTCGTAGCGGCTCCTGAAACGATTTCGCCCTGAAACGTACGGCTTTTGTTCGCCGACCACGTCTCTCATCGAAGTGAAAAGTCTCTCACCCCCTTCACGCCGGCTTCGTAACATTGCAGATCGAACGCGAGCGCGCCGACTTGAGCGTGCAAGTCATCCAGCTGTCCGAACGTCTCGAAGAGGCCGAGGGCGGCGCCGAATCTCAAGTAAGTACTCAAGCAGATTCTCCGCGTCTCATCGACTGACTACGCGACCCTTTTGCTAATTTTGCTTTCCCGCGCTCAGTTCGAGATCAACAAGAAGAGGGACACGGAACTGGCCAAGCTACGCAAACTACTCGAAGATGTCCATCTCGAGAGCGAGGAGACCGCACATCTCCTGCGTAAGAAGCATCAGGAGGTCGTCGTCGACTTCCAGGACCAGATCGACCAGCTTTCGAAAGCACGCGCCAGGTAAGTGAAGCGCCGTCCAGCCGAAATCCTCCTAGTTAAATCGCGCAACTAGGACACCATTACGGTTCGAGGGCTCGAGGGAAGGCTCCTCGCGCAGCTCGATTGGGTGCTCCGAGGATGATCTCGAACTGGACGCTTTTACCGAAACCGTTTTAAACCGAAACACGAGCGACGAAGGCCGGCGCTCCGTAAACTTTCGCCGGCCACGTGCGTCGACATCCGCGATCGGCCGCGATGTAAACGCCTGTTAATCTTCCCTTTGAGGCGAGAATGTGCAAGCGCGTTTGCCAGGGAGCGTCAATAAACAGCTGGGTGCTGGCCGGAAGCTGCCCGGCCCGGTAGCAAACAGCGATTCCACGAGGAAGCGTCGCGCGAACGACGCGACGCCTCGAGGGAAAGGGAAGTCGCGATAGGGAGGACGCTTAATGAATCACGGCGTTACGCGGGTAATTATAGCGCGCGTCTTCTCTACCTATCTATCTCTCCGTCCCTATCTTTCTCTTCACAAACGAGAGTGACTGCACGTAAGAAAATTTGCGCGAATTATACGCGGCCGTGCTGGCCGCGGTCCAAGCCACTCGCGGAGAGCGACTCGCACCTGAAATACGAACGAAGTTTCGGTACCCCGGCTCTTCTAAACATAGTTTCGCCCCTTCGGCACGCCGAGATCCCGTCGCTGCGACAAGGACGTCGACTGTCGTCCTGGAGACGCGTGTTACCGTCAATTAGACGCTAATTGTCCACCTCGGCTCTCGTCTTCTCCCCTCCTCTCCGTTTCCCGATGGAACATGGAACGATGGATCTCGCGGGGAGAACAATTCGTCCAGACGCCTGTGTACTGTGTGTGTACAAGCGCCTGCACTGTTTGGAAGCCGAAGATCTGTCCTACATGCTATCGCAAATAAACGACTTGAAACCCCTTCCCCCCCCCCCCTCCAACCGAGATTGAACGATCTTGAACGTATTTCTCGGGGTTAAATTGTCAAGTACTCGCTCCCCTTCCCTCGTACTCGGGAATAATGTTCTATCGACGATCGGATAGTGATTTATTGGTAATTAGCGATGAGTTATCAAGAAACTTCCTTCCGAACTTCTCCGCGATTAATTTCGTTGTTGGATCAACGAGAAAATTGATTAGGCACTCCTGGAATTCTTCTGAAAGATAAAGAAAGCCCATCATTGATTAAGCCGAAAAATCTCACCTCACTGAAAGACCTGAGCGCTTCTCATGTCGCGCTTGAAACGCACATATCATGTAGCACGATATTCCAAAAGTAATCCCGAGGCGGTTGCCAAAAATAAGGATTAATCAAGACAGCTGCTACTTAGTTTCAACCTCTTCCAAGTGGCGTCAAATATAATCGTCTGGTTAGACGCGCCGCGTGATTTCACCGCCGATTTTAAATCGCGATCGTCATTCACGCGATCATAACATCGGCAAGATCCTCTCGCGAATATCGCGGACGAAGCGATATATGCCTGCCGAAAGCGTGATATCCTGCGGAAAAGATGCCAATCCATCGTTATCGATCGTTGCCGCCGTTATCATTGATTTAACGAAGTCCAACGTCGATGAGAATCTCGTCCCGAAATCACTCATTTTTCTGAGACGCGAAACGAATCCGCTTCTCGGTTCTCGCGCGGAGAACGCACGACTGCCTGGGGAAAGAAGGAAAAAAGGAAGTCCTCCACCTGTTCCTGCCGAGCAGGAAGTGAGCCGAGGGTGCGTTACGGGCAACTCGCAGTAGCCGCTAACCGTCGGTCTTTCTTCTCTTTCCCGGTGCGAACGCGCGCGCGGTCTTCCTCTATCGCGGCGCATCGTCTCTCTTTCTCCCTCTGTCTTCCTTTTGCACGCACGGTTACTCGGCTTATGACTATTTTTAACCATGCGAGTCGCGCGGCAATCCACAACCCCGCGTTGGCGCGCCATATTAGTACACGCGACCGGCCCGAATCCCCACTATCCCCGGAATCGGCTAACCGACACCTTACACCCTCTCTATCGCGCGTGTAGGTGTGTGAGTCCGGTGTATCGCCCGCATTATTTATTTTTCGCGTGGTCTCGCGTGGTCTAGAAAAAATGGAGCACCGCGTCGCGGTGCTCTTATCGACGCGGGCGCGGTGTTGCGGACGCGAGCTAAAGCTCGCACACCGCGAGAAAACACAAAGACAGGCTCCAGCTCGAGCACCCGTCCCCTTCGGAGCCTGGCCCCTCGAAGCGCAGCTTCACCACGTCTGGTCGCTTTCTCTAAATTAAGAAGGCGCATCGCACGCCGCTGTTTCCGTATTTTTGACCAGACACGTTAACCCACTTAGCCGATCTGACTAAAAGGGTAGAAGCGGCCCCCTCGGTATCGGGTTACGAGAGCCGATGTTGGCCGAAGCGCGTCGAAGCTAGGAGAGCAATCGATATTTCGATTGCTCTCCTAGCAATTAAAATGTCATTCGCGTGTTGCGATAATCCGCGAATTACTCTTGGTAAGTGGCCTTCACACACACACACACACACGTAAGATCGATGCTCCGCCATGGAACTTATTACGTTGAACGTCGTTCGAAAAGATGAAGCGCATCCTTTGCGCATATCTGTACGAGTATTGAATAATAAAATATGTATTCTGAATGGATTTCGTGACAAGATCATTTCGTCCTTTCAGGGCTGACAAGGAGAAGTCCAAATTCCAGCAGGAAGTGTATGAACTCCTCGCTCAACTCGACAATGTCACTAAGGAGAAGCTGATGTCGATAAAGACGGTGGAGAAACTCGAGATACACGTGTCCGAGCTGAACGTCAAGATCGAGGAACTGAATCGCACGATCGTCGACATTACCAGCCACAAGACCCGGCTGTCGCAGGAGAACATCGAGCTGGTCAAGGAAGTGCAGGATCTCAAGGTAGAGAATTTGACGCTTCGTCGTTGAGACTGCACGATCATTAATCATAAATCTGCGGCGAGGGCATGCTGATCATCCGATGATGAAATTTTCAGGTGAACATCGAGAACATCACCTACCTGAGAACGCAAATCGCGAGTCAACTCGAAGATGCCCGCCGTCGTCTTGAGGATGAGGAACGTCGTCGTGCGTTGGTCGAAGCTTCATTGCATCAGGTGTGATTTGCTGTAATTCACACAACTCGATAGTTTCCTTTCGGACGGATCACTTTCGCTGAGTTCAATAGCCTGTCAAATTTAGCTTGTTTTTTCCCGACGCGTTGACGATAGGGCGATAAAATCATTAACCCCATCTTGTTTCAGGTCGAAGTGGAATTGGAGTCTGTCCGGGTGCAGCTGGAGGAAGAGTCTGAGGCGCGCTTGGACATTGAACGCCAATTGGTCAAGGCCAATGGAGAAGTCTCAGTGTGGAGGTCGAAGTACGAGACTGAGGCCAATGCTCGCGCCGAAGAGGTAACTGATATGCTTGTCTCGTCGAGGATATCAATTAACTGAATTTTGTACTTGAGGCGAATATCGACCGAAACCTCTCTCGAAAATCGACTCAATCAATCGAGTCAAGAGAGAAACAACTTAAAAGTGTGCTGATTTCTCGTTTCAATTTGGTACACAGGTAGAGGAACTTCGTCGCAAGTACTCTGCTCGCATCCAAGAGCAGGAGGAACAAATCGAGACCTTGCTCGTGAAGATCAACAACCTCGAGAAGCAAAAGTCACGTCTGCAATCCGAAGTGGAAGTTCTGATCATCGATTTGGAGAAGGTGGGATTCCACTCCTTCTCGTTTCTAGCTTCCAGTATTCGCGTCTTTACTGATCGATTAATATATTTAGTTTTTAGAGGAGTGTTTTAGAGATATCCTGACATTGTCCAACATTTCTTTTTTCTCTTCAAGGCCAATGCAACCGCTCGCGAGCTGCAGAAGCGTGTCGAACACCTCGAGAAGATCAATATAGAGCTGAAGGCCCGTTTGGACGACACTATGGCCATGTACGAGCAAAGCCAACGCGACCTCCGCAACAAGCAGCAAGAACTGCAACGCACAAACGCCGAACTCGACAAGACCCGCGAAATGAAGGACCAATTGGCACGTGAGAATAAGAAACTTGGAGGTGATTGTCGTCGATTTTTTTACGATTTCTCGTAGAATACTCGTCTCAAAATTCCGGAAGCGACAGCTAGAGTATGTTTTCTTCATCAGTTGCTATTGGAAGTTTAATAGGATCGAAGTTTTGTTTGTTGAGTAAAAAAGAACGATTCGAGGATTCTCTCTCTCTCTCTCTCTCTCTCTCTCTCTCTCACTCTCTCAATAGTTAAGAGATTTTTTTCAGTTTTCACGATGCGGGTATGTTTTTGCAGACGACCTCACCGATGCGAAGAATCAGCTGGCCGACATGAACCGCAGACTCCACGAACTGGAGTTGGAACTTCGCCGATTGGAGAACGAACGTGAGGAATTGGCCGCCGCCTACAAGGAAGCTGAAGCAGTGAGTACAATTTTAATTGTTTCAGATGGCATATAAAGGTGCTGGCCCGAGAATGATTTATACTTTAATGAAAATATGACATTGAATATGGAAAATTTCGATGTAGGGACGCAAGATCGAGGAGCAACGCGCTCAAAGATTGTCGGCCGAATTGAGCCAACTACGCCATGAGTTCGAACGTCGCCTCGCTGAGAAGGATGAAGAGATCGAAGTGATTCGGTGAGTTTTTGTTTAAAATTATCCCTATTTCCCACTTGCTTCACGTCTTCGACGGGAATACGTTGAAGTAATTATCGTAATTTATTTAATGTACTTTCGCTTTACCGCAACTTACCTTTTATCTACTAATTTATCGTCATTTACTTTTTATTTACTAATTATCTCGTAATTTACTTTTGCTCGATACCTCGGTGAGATTTTACGTGGATATAGTTAATTTCTTTTTACCTTCCACTTGATCGCGTTCTCAAATTTCTCTTAGCAGAACTTTTACGGACTTTTAGGAAAACAATTACTCTTTTTATTCCGTAAAACAAGATTTACATTTTTTTGTACGTTATCCTACCTGGGATCTACAGCGATTACGTTGATGTAGAGAACATGTTGTTCCTTAAATGAATTCTCTGTTCACATCAATGCGTAATCAATAACGCAAATTGCGAAGAAAGCGTTGCCGCAAGGTAAGACGCAAATGTCAACCAGAGTATTTCGGACTGTGATGTAATCGGCTTATTTCTGATCGACCGTCGTGCGTCGAGCGACGCTATTATAAGCGCACATAGTAAAATGCATTTAAATTTACCGCCTGTCGATGCGAACAATTGGTCATTGATGATGATTTATCTGGATAGCCTCTAATTATCTATCCATGTTCCAAATCAAAGCACGTCATCATTACTTTTCTTCTAAAGACGTTGAGCAGACGTTGGACGAGAGTTCGTGAAACTTCTACGAAGGCGGATGTGTTTAATCAACATTCGCCAGCAGCGAAAATTTTATTCGCGGAAAATTACACGAGTGATTACCATCATGCAATTACGAATTGCATCGATCAGCAATCTCAGCTCAGTCGAAAGGATGCGATATTAACGGGAACACCGATAGAAATTCATACGTCGTGGCGAGCCGCTATTAATAAGCGCAGCAAGCCCAATCAGTCATGATCCAATTATTACTGAGAGGTGCTGATTGGTCGTCCCCGATGTGGCAATCGCAACGAAAAGTACAAAAGATACCACCTAAGCATCGGCCCAATTTTTGCCGACGGTCCTGTCGCAAGAGAGTGACACCAGCATTCGTAAGTTCGTCCGGGAAAAACCACAAATATTACAAATATTACAAACTCATCTTCATCTTCGACCTAGAGCCGGCGACTCGTTAATTGCAGACTCGCTTGATTCCCGGAGGAAGCGAAGCCCATCAGAAGGGATTCTTCGCCACCCAAATCTCCGAGCTTTTCCTGCTCGATCCCGAAAATAAATCAAACGCCCTTACGATCGACCAAAGCTCTCGTCAAAGATCATGGCGGGTTACATGCCACCGATCCACATGCCCCTGGAGCCCAAGTGGCGACATTACCCGACGTACATCTACGGCAGAAACTACAGCTACGGCATGAATTACTATCAGCCAATGATCGATTACATGGACGCCAAGAGACAGGAACCTAGATCGAGTAAGCCGGAGCTCGGGAGGAGACGGATCGAACTACCCGAGCTACCCTGGTCCGACAGTAGGGCCTTGTGGCAGGACAAGAGGGTGGAGCCCTACACGAGGGACGATCTCATCAGACACGCGATCGATGCCGAGGACGAGGCCAGGGATCACCTGTCGCGGTTCAAGGTACGAGGTGGCGCGAAGGGGGAGAGGCAGAGCCGGAGGATGCCGGCGGAGAGGAGAACAGCGTCTCTGGGAAATATCGAAGGCGATCCGTTTTCCTGAGTGCCGCGCGACTCGCCGCCGCCGCCGCCGCCGCCGCGCGACTGCCTGACCTTTTCGGTTTCTAAATTTGGTGCCGCGGAAGAGGCTGCCTCTCGTTTCAAGTGGCCACGATCAAAGAAGCGTGCGCGCGTGCGCGCGCGCGCGTGTGCGGATGCCGTGCGTAATTCATGTCATCGCATTGACGTCGCAGACTAGCTTTCTCGTTTTGCAACTTTGCTCGTTCAACTTATTGCGCGACTGTTCGATGAATCTCGACACATCGTCGCCGCCGTCGTCGGGCCGCGTTCGCTCGGGGATTAGTCGGCGGTTGCCATTAATCAATCACCATTGCGATCGTCATTCCGCCGTATTTGTATTTCTGCGGGACGAGCGGCGTGTATTGCGGGGGCGTTCTCTAAAGTGACCTTTAAAGCTGCCCGAGGCGTCTCCCGCGAAATTTCGCCATTTCGTCCCAAACGCGAAGGTATAGGGATGATTCACAAAGTGCCTTCGCTCCGACCTCGAGATACTTGCACCGCGCCAGAGAAACTTTCCCAAACGTACCCGTCGTTAGCCAGGGGCGAAGCTATTATTCGTGGCGGCAGCTCCAACAGCTTACCGGGTCAAACAATAAAAATATCACGGAAGCGCCGGCGAACGGTCTCTCTTGGCACTCTATTATTTGGACCATTCTTCACGATCGCAATGGTTGGGGGCACCAAGTTTGCCAAGTCGCGCGGCGAAAAATCCATCTCGTGTCTCCCGGCCGAAAGGGACACCAAGGTGTCTGGTGCATTGGCAGTCGCGCTCGGGTCTCTAGAGAGTCGGTCGGCCGCGCGAGTGCCGGCGATCGCTTTCGCATTCTGGATCGCAGCGGCTAAGTATAGGCGGCCGCGTAAGAGAAGTCACGCCTAAGTGCTCGCGCTCGCACGACGGAAAACGGTGGCCATAGAAGCACGTAGAGCGCCGAGCACCGTGCGAGACTGACCGTGTTCACCGTGTCTGTCTGTCTGTCTGTCTGCCTGTCTGCCTGACGTGTCCGAAGATAGCGAATCGCTCGGACTTCAGCCTGGCCAAGACCGTGCACGCCAGCCGCGTGACAAAGGAGATCTTACCGCGCACGGGAGTGGACCTGAAGAGACTACCAATGCCGTTGATGTTCGCCACTCGCCGCGCCCGCAGCGAGGCCAAAGAGATCCAGCATGAGGCGACGAGCGAGATCAAGCTGCAAGCGCTGAAGGATGTCCAGATGATGAACCAGGTGCACGACGCGCTGGAGCACGGCAAGAGCCTGCGCGGCAAGTCCGCGAGGGCGATCGAGTTCCAGCTGAGGGCGGAGGCCTTGAAGAACCTGTCCAAGAGTGAAGAACTGGCGGACATCCGGCAGTTCCAGAGGGAGACTGTGCACTCCTTCTGGGACGACCGGGCGCACGGCAGGCTGATGCAGGAGAGAACCAAGGCCCTGATCGACGAGGACAAGCTGACGCGACCGCTCGACTCGCTCAGTCGGGAGCTGCGCGGATTCGAGGAGAAGTCCAGCAATTATTTCCTGGACAAGAGGTACCGAGATCGCGCGAGGCGGCAGCTTTTGAACGGATGCCGAGGATGCGAGTATTATAATGTTAATAAGCGCGGTAGATAGGTAAGAATTGCGAGTATGCCAAGAGAGTTGTTAGTAGCGCGAGAGAGTGAGACGACGCCTCGTAGCGCCTCAGCTGGGTAGGGGTGTGCGTTCAGAATCGAAATAAACGGTCCCGATTATCGGCATTTGACCTTGTGTGTTTGGCGAGAACAGCGGCATTTTCCTCTTGTCGTGGAATCCCTATTCCCCGTGAAGTTACACGCTTGAATCACCAGTACCTTGCTTCCGATCCCTGCCCAGCCTCAATATCTATCTGATACTCTTCTGATCTTGATCTCGAGCGATTAGCTTTCGGTGAAACAGGTAATCGAGAATTAGATCCCAGGATGGACGAGCTAAATTGCTAAAGAATTATGACGGCAACTAGGAGAAAATTTGAGAGAAAGTCCGGAGCCGCTTAGATAATCGGTGTGACAGCCGAGAACACTTCTAACCATTACCCACGGTTGCATTTTCACGAGAGAGGGTGACTGACTTGTCGAATGAAATTAATCAGCAAACAGACCAGCATCGAGATCGAGCAGCTGAACGCTCGCGTGGTGGAGGCCGAGACGAAGCTGAAGACCGAGGTGCAGCGTATAAAGAAAAAGCTGCACATCCAAATCACCGAACTCGAGCTGTCCCTGGACGTCGCCAACAAAAACAACATCGATCTGCAGAAGACCATCAAGAAGCAGTCTCTCACTCTGACCGTAAGCCAAATAAGCCAGCTGCAATATCCGTCGACGCTGCATCCGCGTCATGTTGGTCTTGTTTTTCAGGAACTGCAAGCCCACTACGACGAGGTGCAGCGCCAATTGCAGGTGACCCTGGACCAACTGGGCATCAGTCAACGCCGCCTACAGTCGTTGACGGCCGAGCTCGAGGAAATCCGCGGCAATTACGAATCCGTGAGTACACCCGTCCGTGTCGTTTCGTCTCGCCAAAACATGATAAATTGTATACCGTTCATGTCATCATATATCAAACATTAATCATATACATCGTCCAGAAACGGATAAACAAAGGTATGACGACAATACACGAATATCGCGCGACTTATGTAAGTTACGTTAAGCGCAGAATCGCTCTCGTTGACAGGCTTTGCGCGCGAAGAGGACCGTCGAGCAGCAATACGAGGAGTCGGTTAGCCGCATCAACGAGCTGACCACCATTAACGTGAACATCGCTTCGTCGAAGGCTAAACTCGAGCAGGAGCTGGCGACCTTGGCTGGAGACTACGAGGAGGTCACCAAAGAGCTGAGAGTCAGCGACGAGAGATACCAGCGAGTGCAGACCGAGCTGAAGCACACCGTAGAGATCCTCCACGAGGAACAGGAGCGTATCGTCAAGATCGAGGCTATCAAGAAGTCGTTGGAGATCGAGGTGAAGAACTTGTCCGTGAGATTGGAGGAGGTCGAGGCTAATGCCATCGTGGGCGGCAAACGCATCATCAGCAAACTCGAGGCCAGGGTAAGAGAGAAATGTTACTCTAATTTCAAGCGCAGACCTAGGCTAGCCTAGGCGGATTTAGAGCCGAGGAAATTCTTACGCCCCGGAAACACACACGGAGTGACATTAAACTTCAGTGAATTTACGTATGGATGATTCTCATGCTCAGATTCGCGACCTGGAGCTCGAGATGGACGAGGAGAAGCGCCGACACGCCGAGACTGTGAAGATCCTGCGCAAGAAGGAGCGCAACATCAAGGAGGTGATGATTCAGGTGGAGGAGGACTCGAAGAACATCGCCCTGCTGCAAGAGTCCCTCGACAAGGCCTGTCAGAAGGTCAACATCTACAAGAGGCAACTGCAGGAGCAAGAGGGCATGTCTCAGCAGAGCGTCACCAGAGTCCGCCGATTCCAGAGGGAGCTCGAGGCCGCGGAGGATCGCGCCGACACGGCTGAGAGCAACCTGACCCTGATCCGCGCCAAACACCGCAGCTTCGTCACCACCTCGACCGTGCCCGGTTCCCAGGTGTACCTCGTCCAGGAGACGAGGCAGGACCTGTAAAAACAACACCGCCGTCGCCGCCACAACACCGACTTACCCTTTGCCATCACGCGAACGCCGCGTCGCCGTCTTCGCAAAACTTCGTATGTGTGATACGAGGACCATGCGTACGAAATATGTGACGTTTGAGATGATTCAAAATTTCCCGCATCGACAGTTAATTCATAGCGAAATCGCAAGGCAGGATTTCTCCTTCCTGAGACGGTTGCACGAAATCGGTTGGCAAAAAAAAAGAAAAAAGAAACAAAAAGTTAAGAGAAACCGGAAAAGGGAGAAAAGGATTTAACGCTTTTTTTTTTCAGTCATTCTTAAGAAACGAAACGAAAAAGTTTAATTCGGGCCTCAATTTCGACAGGCGTCACGAACACACCACGACGAGAAACAAGTAAGTAAAGACGCGACGTGAATTATTACAAAAAAGAAAAAAAAATAAAACCGAGAAAGAGAGAGAGAGAGAGAGAGAGAGAGAGAGAGAGAGAGGAAGAGAGTTTCCAACGGGCCGCACGGCGTGTTGTTATTTTCGAGGGGTTAAATCGGAGCAACCAGAATATACGAACCTATTAAACTAATTGAACGATGTGCGAGTGCAGCGCCCGCTGTCGCCTGACGACCCGTCGTAAACTCGAAATCACTTGTCCAACGAGACGCGATACGTCGCAACGAGAACGTTTACAAGCGCAGAGAGAAATGGGAAATCGACGCTCGCTGCTTTGGAGAAATTGGCGCGTGAACATCCGGAAACACCGAGATTGAGAATCGATCGTTATTCTGCATCGCGCCCTGCAACGAGCAGCCAGACAAGATCTAAATCGGATCCTTCTCGTCCCAATTATGTGACTGTAATCGAGCGTGAGGGCGGAGAAAACGGAGAGAGTGAGGAACGCGAGAAATGGGGCAATGGCAGCTCAGCGCCTAGCTATATTCGCGCGTGTCGCAATTGTATTTAAAAATGGATAACTTTAATTCTATTCTATTACTATATAGATAGGTAACTATTGCCCACATATACACAACTCTCACTGTACGACATACACAATAACCTGTGTCAACGTTAATTTAATAAATAAACTGAAACGCGTACGTACGAAGGGGGCTGTGTTTCATTTCCCGCGCTGCTTCTCCGGTATCGGTAACGTCGAGAAGAAAGATGCCCGCCAGGAGATCTCGAGATTAGCGAGGCACTCGCGCTTTGCGCGCGTTGTCGATTGTTTCCACCCTTCAATTTAGAGATCTTTAGCTATAATTTAGCTATATCTACATGTAAAATATTTATATAATACAGCATTCTCCGCATTTTCCGATTCTCCTACTTATCCATTGTCCTTTTCCGAGCGATACCCGTGTCTCAGTCGCCCCTAAAACTGAATTAACGTACGAATGGTGGAAGGAGAAACAAACGCACATACACACACACTGGGAGTTACATTAAAGTAAATTTAATTTATTCGAGCTAATTATTCTTCGGACCTCTATGGCGTTTATTAGTAGGGTCCGCTTAGAAGCCAGATCGACGGAGCCCAAGAACGCACACGGGACACCCGCGAATTCGTCGGATCGATTTTGTCGGATTTCTCTCACCGGATTTATTACAAAGACGCTACGTGATAATAGGAGTCGTATATATATATGTGTGTGTGTGTGTGTGTTGTGTGTGTGTGTGTGTGTGTGTGTGTGCGCGCGTGTGTGTGTGGTGGTGTCCCGCGTGTTGGGCTCCAACAACCTCGCGCATTTCCAATTACAAATCAGAAGTTAATAATAATTAATAACATTAGGTACGTATATCTATTAACAATATTAAGATCCATCCACACCGCCAGGCACGCTTTATACAGCGGCAGTAATTAATGGTCGATTAAACAAGTCACCGATTTTTGTGTTTCTTATAAATCGTAGAAAACTCGGCTCTCTTCTCTCTCTCTCTCTTTCTCTCTCTCTCTCTCTCTCTCTCTTTCTCTCTCTCTCTCTCTGTCTGATGAAGGAAATGAGCGAAATCGCGAGGGATCGCTTACCGCGTACGATCCGATCGCTGACGGAGAAACGAAAAAATAAGAGAAGATAGAAAAGTGTCAAAACTATCTCGGCGAAGCCAATAATTTTGGTTTTTCTCAGTCACGAGACACGCGAGATACGATATTGAGATAATTATTTATAGAAAAAACGGTAACTCATGGAATCGTTCGGTGCTCCCGCATGTTCGTGGCTTCTATCGAATACACTATAGATTGTTTCGTTTTTCCTTTTTCTTCTTTTTTACTGAACAAAGAAAACATTCAGTCTTTGAAGTGTATGCGTGTGTATGTGTGTGTTATGTACCGAATCAAGAAGCTTCTTCAACGAAACATGTCCGTAGAAAAAGTTGTTGCTCTCTGCCTTTCCCCGTCCTTCGTCGCAATCGTCTAATTTTGCGATCTGCAAGTTTTGTTTTCCAGCGGTTTATTAATAGCACGATCATTCCGCGGTGTTGTCCGAACGTTGTCCGACAACAACTCGACTCGACTCGATTCGAGATGTAGATTTCACCGCGCTGTCGCGCGAGATCTCGCTATCCGTGTGTCTAACGCATTGTAACTCCTTGACTTAGTATCCCCTTTATTTTTATTACAATATGAGCGGACAACAAGTTCGCAAATTTCTCTTTCGCCTCGAGATAAATCTTTAACAGCAACAACCTTCCGTGTACAGAACTACACTTATCACGATACATTTGCAGATGGAAAAATAGTGGAGACGCGACATGCCCGTGAATTACGAACGTTACGAGTAATCAAAGGAAATACGGTACCATTCACCAACTCACCCGTCCGTCGTTTTACGGAAAATTACAAGTGCTCGTTCTATCCATATGTAAGTCGTCGATGAACATTTACACCATTATGTACAGAGTATTATACAATGAAAACGGAGAAACGGAGAATAGAAATGATGAGATACGGCGTGATAATGACGTGTCGATAAACTTATCTTAGCGTTACTCTCTATAGCGGGTACTCACTCTCTCTCTCTCTCTAAAGTAATAACGCACGTACGAAACGGAAAACGGAAAAGAGGAGCAGATCCCGCGAGACTACAAGCAACCTAAATTTCTCAAGCTTACTCGTCCATCGTTTGTCGTAATTTTCGTTCTCGCACCAAGCGACGAGGGATGAACGAAATCAGAAATCTCGATCTGTTTCGGACGACTGCGTCGTACAAGAAAATCTACCGCACGCGTTATTCAGAACTTTAAACAACGTGACCGAGAACAAATACTCCAAGCTGTCGCGAACATGTCCAACACGGTTGGAGAGACTCGCGACAGCTCGAATGCGAAACAACGCCACAAACAAGGGAAACGCGTAAGACGAGTGATGGAACGAGGGAAATCGACTTATAAACAAGAAATATCGCGACGATTATTAATAAAGACACCCTTGTTCAAAACAAGGGAGGGAAAATAAATAGAATAAAAGCTCTTTGTTCGGAGGTCTTATAGTCAAGATATACGCGACACCTCCTCCGAACCATCCAAACGAGTGGAAACGATTTTTGGTCTATGAATCCTCAGCAATTGCTAATTAACTTATTCATACAATACGATACGCAACGTTCTTCCTCGGAGAGTCGCACCGTTCCGTTTTAATTCCTCCAATCATCTCCCGGCTTCAGCCAAACGCAAAGCAGTCATCAATAAATTAATATCGCTCGCAATTTTTCCTTTTTCTCTTTCTCTCTTTCGAAGTCCACGCATTTACCTCGGGAAACGAAAGGAAAGAAGAAGACAAGGACGAAAGTCTTTGCCCTGTAAGACTACGATGAATCGTTCCGATTTTGCCCGACGTGAAGTGTCGGAACGATGTGACTCTCCCCGAGAACACGTTCTTCCATTTCACCGGTAATCATTAAACACTGGTATCACCTAAAGCACAAAACGAAATAGACGGTAAATCGCCTTAAAGGTACAAGTTTCTTCCCACTAACAGAATCGCGATGCGGTCGTAAGTGCCGCGTGTGCAAACATCTCTCTCTCTCTCTCTCTCTCTCTCTCTCTCTCTCTCTCTCTCTCTTTCTCTCTCTCTATCTCATTTCTAATTTATTGTTACTCTTTTGTACAAGTGTGTGTGGGGGGAGGGGGAGGGGGGGAGCTTAAACGGTAAGGAGCGGAAAGAGGTACGGAGGAGGATGAAATATCATTTGGCAGTTCGGCATTCGTCGGATATGAGTCAGACTGTTCGACGGTTCGGCGACCCAGTTGTAAACCGCGATAAACCGCGACTGACGTCAAGACGAGCTCGGGAGCGACGTCGAGGGCGTCGCGGCCCGGAAATGTGGCGCGGTGGATACGAGAGTGCGCGAGCAGGAAAAATATCTTATCGTTTCCGCATTCGAGAGTCCCGAGCGATTCACGCGCCGATCTTTCTTCGGCTTCGGCGTCAAGTCGGCGAGTTGAACGAGCGAGCGAGTTTTCCCACGTTGCACGCGTCCAGATATTCCCTGTCGAACCTGTGCGTTCGACAGAGACGATCCGTTATCGCGATGGGAGATCGCTCTGTAATATCGGATTTCGAATCTCAGAGTCGCGCATACTGCGACGTCTGGCGAGATGCAGTTAAATCGTGTATCGACATGGAAACGAGCATGTTGAAATTCGCACGGAAGATATTTTTCCTCGTTCGAGTGCACGGGTGCAGTTTGTGGGAACACAGCGTACATTACTATTATCCATATTTCTTTCTCTCTCTCTCTCTCTCTCTCTCTCTCTCTCTCTCTCTCTCTCTCTCTCTCTCTCTCTCTCTTTTCCCTTCTCTCTCTCTCTTTTCCCTTCTCTCTCTCTCTCTCTCTCTCTCTCTCTCTCTCTCTCTCTCTCTCTCTCTTTCTTCCTCTTTCGCTTTAATTAATATTCAATCAGGCATTGGCACAGAGAGTTGTACTAGCAGTATGGAAACAGCTGCAAAGAGGAGACACCGGTCGAGTTTGCGGCGTCTTGCGATTCGACGGATACGCGCGCTTCTCCAGCACAGTGTAAGTATAAAAAACGTCACCGCGAGGCGACCCCACCGATGTACACGGACTATCGTTATTTAATTACGTAATGATAAATTAACCTACGTGTCATAATAGGAATGTGTACGGGGAGCGAGCGAAGAAGCGAGGCTCCGCCTCCTCGGAGCGACGGCTCGTTGAGAGCCGCGCTCATTATCTACTAGTTGAACATTAGATTCTCAGTCTTTCGGTGAATTGCAATCCACGACGAGTGCGTGACGTCACTCCGTTGCAATCGAATCCGATGGCGGATTCGTTGCCCCCCGTCGTCTCGTCTTGTTCGCCAGATGAGAGAAAACGCGAAGGCGACAGGAAAACGTCCCCCCGCTCTCCTCGCCGCGGTAATGAGCGACTTGATTTTTTTTAGAGACACTTCTTGTCTGTCTACTTCCTAGTACCTTCATTTCTATCGTGTCACTGCAACGCGGACTTTCTTGACTTGTGCGACTAAATGAGTATATGTTATTAAGTTTTAGTCACTGGGACAATCGTGTCACGATTTGGAGAGAAACTGCCGAGATTTCTTTAAAACTCGCGAATTTACACTCGGTGACAAGGTAACACTATTTATTCTCATTGGCCGGCGCATAATCAGTCGCATAAATCAAGGACTGGCCGCACCGAAGTCACTACGAAGATACGAAAATTAGGTGTGGAAAACGCGCGCGTCGGGAAATTTCTACAACTGGGTCGGAACGTTGCGAGCGAGTAGAAAACGGAAGAGGAAAATTAGCGTGACGTCCGCGCGACGTCATCGGTAAAAAACAATACAAAAATACGATTATGTGTTCGAAGGACCCTCCGCTTTGTCTATAGTATAGTAATAATTGTAACCTCGCAGACTTTTACGTTGACTATTGGATGACGAAGATTCTTGTGTTCTCTTGTTTCTTTCTTTCTTTTTTCTTTCCTCGCCTAAATTTTCCGCCTCACGCGACTTCTTCCTTCACGCTCGCTATCTCTCTCTCTCTCTCTCTCTCTCTCTCTCTCTCTCTCTCTCACACTCCAGATAAATCTCGCCTCGTCCAAGAAGTATACACTATACACTCTATTATCCGATATAATCAGTATATATCCGCGGCTGAAGAGGAGACGCTCGTTCTCCATCCCACGAGGACAAACAGGAGAACGCTCCCTCCTGTTCGCCACCCGATAATATTACAATTATCGTGTTTTCTTTTTCTTTTTCGCACAGAGACCACCCATACGCATACTCGTCGCATTCTCAGTCTCGCGCAGTATACCAAACTTACGTATCTATCTTTCGAGCACTACGATTGCTTTTTTCAACTCACTGAAATACAGCGCGCAAACGTGTACACACGAAATTCACCTTCGACCTCCCGAGGGAGGGAGCCTCGGTACACACGAAGGAAACGTACGAAATATAACACCGGGCCGAATGACAAACGAACACCGATAAGAGCTCCTTCTTAAAGCCGTCGTCGAGATGTAGCGCGTACATTAACGATACAATACGATGGAAATAATCCGAGGAATTACTCGGACGCGATCACGCCGGAGGAACACCAAAAGCGCAGACGTACGTTCGTTGACTAGAGAAGAATGTCCCCGCGATTGGAAATAATTTCCAATGAAGATCGAACGAATAAGCTTCCTCTTCGCGGGATAAGTTTGATAAAATTTCGCAATGTCGACGAAATTGCACGATCAAGAGTGCGAGAGGGATAAGAAATCGCAAATGTTCACAATCGCGTACGGAAACGTTCGCAACATCGAGCCACGTTTGGTTCCTCTCCTCCTCTCGCCCAATCGCGTCCGCTCGTCTCACATACACTCACTCGATCGACATTTTCACGTTCGCTGTACTTCGTACCTTTCTCTCTCTCTCTCTCTCTCTCTCTCTCTCTCTCTCTCTCTCTCTCTCTCCCTCTCTCTCTCTCTCTCTCTCTCTCTCTCTCTCTCCCTCTCTTTCTCTCTTCCACGCAAAAAAATTCCCGAAAATATAGATTCTCCAATGATTCTCTTTTTATCGAATTTGTCCTCTCGCTTCTTTCTCTCCTTCTCGTATCAGTCGCAGTTCAGCTTTCGCCACACGTTCTTCCCTCTGCCTTTCTCTCGCATTTCTCACATTCTCTCGCACTCTCTCCCTCTCTCACGCTCCTTTCAGGCCACGATATTACGCGCTCTTGAGCTTAGCATCCTTCAATTTTCAGCCTTCCTGCGTTGCAAAGGAAACACGCTTCGAAAGTCCCGCCGTTGCCATTACGCATCGCTCGCGCGCGCGCGCACTCTCTCTCGTTACGCAAAAATATTCGCTTTGAGCAAAACATTCGGATGTGTTTTACTACACACTAAGAGTATACGTATAGGGTCGACAAACAAAACCGGACGATGCGCCAAAAGTCTCGCGGTAATTGTCGCGCGCAGGGAGGAGAACGCTCTTTTTACGCAGGTCTCGCCGGTAGTCGCGGTGATGACTCGCGTTATTCCTCGCGTTTTCCAAAAGGCCGAAGGATATCTCGTCGAACGGCTGTCCTGTCGCTCACTCGACAGACAGAGGACGCCGTTTCGCGTACTTCGAATTCGAATTTACCGGACGCCGTTTTCCCTCTCTTCCTACTTTCTCTCTTTCGACCAGCGGTCAGAACCGGTCAGCGTCGTTCGGTCTCTTTATCTACCCTGTATAGTGTCGCTTGAATCGACGAACTCTCGAGAGGAAGGAAAACCAAAAGATATGCATTTCTCTTTTGTATAACAAGGTGTACGGTATATGCTCCCAATGTGTCTCCAGTCCCGCTCTTTCTTTCTTTCTTTTTTTTCCTTTTCTCTCTCTCTCTCTCTCTCTCTCTTTCTCTTCTTACACGCGTCGGTAAAATCTAACAGCGTATTCTCGGAATTTATATTAAAAAGTGTCAACTCTCTCAACGTCTGAGGCCTTTTTCGCGTGTACTTCCGCAACCATTCGCTGAGCTGAGCCGATACGTTCGTATCTCGCGCGACGTCCTGATCACTTCCATCGATTCAGCATGCGCTCGCGCGAACGCGTCGATTGTCTCTCGGCCGAGGACGAAAGTCGCTCTCGCGAGATCGCCCGGAGAGAACGAAGATTGGTTCGGTTAATCGAATCGGTTAGTCTCCGATAACGAATATGTATAATATATAATTATACGCGTGTATATATATATTAATATACGAATGTACCGTTACTCATTAGTAGTAATCAATAAACGTCACTATATAATAAATTTGTATACTTCGTTATCTTAACATTAATATATATATATCATAATAAATATACAGCAGTGTCTGTGTGTGTGTGTGTGTGTGTGTATGTGCTGCGTATAGAAATGTAAGTATACGTGTGACACGATAACCGAGCGATCGTTCGATTAACCGAAATCGTATCGCGCGACTTCCTGCCGACCCGTTCGCTCGAGCGATCGATTATCGGGTCGCGATGATGACACATCGGGACCACTGAAGTAACCAAGTTTCTTCCCACCGCAACATATCGGTCGTCCGGTCGTTCGTTCGTTCTACTTCTCTGCCCACGACTCGCCGCGTTACGATGCCGACCGCTCGTGCAGTGCTCGAATCTGCTCGAACGTCGAGGCCTGTCTCGCACGAAGGAACCCCATAACTTCGGCCAGTCTATTTCTCAGACTCTTCGCGAGACTCCACGGAATATCTGTTCGGTATGTACACCCCTCGGAATATCTTCCTCCCGCTTCCCCTCCGTCTGATCGTCGGGAGCTCCAACGCGTCGAATTTCCAGTCGTAGCTACGTCCGGCGTATGCAACGTACCAATCGATCCCCCGTCGCTCTCTTCCCGTCCAAGAGCCCGACGAAAGCTTAATCTACTTCAGGTCCTCCATAGCGCCGTAATTAGCGAGCGATTTCTTGATCCTGAGTGCGGTCAGCCTAGCGGCCGCGTTGTGGTACCAACATTCCTTCATCACCTTCGACATCACCTGCAGAGCCTGAAACCAGGCGAGTCGGAACGAATTTATATATCGGCGATCGAATGAAAAATTGACGAGTGAATTGGTGATTGATTCGTAATTTGTCTCGCTACGCGGTGGTTGTAGACGGTGAAGACTGTGTCGAGATTATTTACGATAGAACAGAATGTTCCTAATGATATCTCTCGTTTCGCTACTCACTTCGATCGACTGCCATCGGTTCGGTATCGACGGCCGCTGTCGGTCTGTGCACACGACTTTCCGCATCTCCTCGATAGTCGGATCGGAAGGCACCAAGTCGTAAAAGGGCAGCTGATACTCGTCGTGAATCCCGCCAACGTTGCAACGCCTGGCGATCTCCCAGAGGATCAGGCCGAGCGCGTACACGTCCGCCCTCTTGAACGAGTCGAAGTGGTTCATGTTTATCGTCTCTTCAAGAACCTGAAAGCAGAAAGCGTTCGTGCAAACTGCCGAGCTATTGCCTTGCTGACCGCCTGCCACGAATTTTCTCTCCGTTATTTCGCGATGCGCAACACGTCACGCTTCTCTCTAACATTCGTCGTTTTCCACCCTTGGGTCTTTGTCCTCGTCAACAAGAAGAGACTCCTTCGTGTCCTAATTATCCCGAGTTAATTAAATATAATATCTCATTACTCTTGATTATCGAAAAAGAAAAAAAAAAAGAAAAAGAAATTCCAATCTCTTAGATATTGAAAAAAATTAGATCAGTAGTTAATGAGACATTACGAAAGTCGTTTGATTGGCTGTCGTTAAGTTCGACCGATATTTTGGAAAAGAGGGAGTTGCGATCACGAGTGAAATTTTCGTTTGCTTCCCTCGGCCGAGAGAGTGGAATATTCGGATCTCTCGCCACATCTTCCACATCCTAGACCGGTGGAATCCGCTTCGCACGGCAATGATAATTACCTCGGGCGCCATGTATCTCTTCGTGCCGACTCTGTTGTTGAGCTGAATGTCGACGGTATCCGTGATTACGTCGTGCCTGACGGCCAGCCCGAGGTCGCCTATGGCGCAGGTACCATTAGTCTTCACGAGAATATTTTTTGACTTCAGGTCCCGGTGAGCGATAGCCGGCTTGCCTTGCGTGCCGACTATTTCCATGTGAAGATGCGCCAAGCCGGTGGCGATCGACAAGGCCATCCTTATCATACCGTTCGTATCGACGGTTGATCTGTTGAGGTAATCGAAGAGCGAGCCCTTCTCGTGATAATCCGTTATCAGCCACAGCTGCGTCCACGTGCCGTTATCTGGGATCGAAAGCGTATCGATCAGTCTGCGATCCTAGGGACTTGACTCTGATCGCAGGGTATATCCCTCTCCCTCCCTCTCCTTCTCTCGTCTCAAAGATTGTGAAATATATAAGGAGAAATCGATGACACACGACTCAATACTTTTCACGTAATCCGAGCGAATAGCCTCTGTCCACTAAAGATAAAGCACGTATTCCCAAAGATAAAACGCTCTTCCAATATTATTGCAACGCTCTTCGTGGCTGTCCTCCGACAGGTGATAATTCGCTCCTCGACATTGAGTTACCACTTGTGATATACAATTGACGCGTATCACATTCTCTTAACTGTTAAGTCGCGACAATATGTATGTCTCTCTCTCTCTCTCTCCCTCTCTCTCGGAAATTCCCTTTCCCTCCCTCCCTCAAAGTCGCCGGACTCATTTCGGAATCGATTCGTGCACAGGGAGAAAGAGGCGCGTCCAGAGTCGCGATTTATAAGTCCACGTTTGCTAGAAGAAAGAAAGGGACAGGCAGGCGGTACCTTTGTTATCGGCAGCGATGAAGCCCAGGATGTTGTCGTGCCTCAGCATCACCGTCTGATAGATCTCGGCCTCGCGGAACCAGGACCTCTCCTCCCGCGAACTGAAGATCTTCACGGCGACGTTCTCGCCGCGCCAACGCCCGCGCCAAACCTCGCCGAAGCGACCCTTCCCGATCGTCTCCACCAGCTGGATCTGGCGCGCTATGCTCCGTTGTACCAGAAGCGGCAGGCCTACTTGAGAGAGGATGGGCATTGGAGAAGAACGCAAATTTCAGTATGATTGAGGATGACTCATACGCCGCGTGTTAGTGGATCAAGCCCGACCGTGAGACGAGTAAATTAAATATACGCTTGCGCGTATCGCGCGAACTCGCGCGCACCGCGATGCGAGGAAAAAAGGCGTTATTAACGAGCGAATATCGAAGACGCGCGCGCGGTGATTTGTTGCGAATCTCAGCGAGCGCCTCGTCGTTCCAGCAATCCGCTAGACTCCAACGTGGCGATGACTCGCGCGCGTTACGTGTTCCGGCAAATTGTGACTACAAAAGGCGGTTACGCTGAACGCGCATATCGATGTGCACACATGTGTAAACAAAGAGGAAGAATAAACACTCGTATCGTATCGTAACGATCGTTTAAAAGGCTCGCTCACTGAAACGTCTCGGCAAGGCGGAAAGAGAGAGAGAGAGAGAGAGAGAGAGAGAGAGAGAGAGAGAGAAAGCCGTGCGAAAATTCCATCCGTCGTTCTTTCGGACTGTAAAACGCAGGACGCGAATTCGCTTGGAGGATCGCTTGGCCGCTCGAGCGACTCGATAGACACGCGATCGCGATCAGGAATGCGCCGTTAGCGACGTAGTCGCTGCCGGGAACTAGCTTCCGCTAGAAACCACCGCCGGCGCGGTAGGCCTTTTCGTCGCCTTTCACCTCGTCGCTCCACGTCTATTCAATCTGCTTGAGGAGCGAGCGACTTTAATTTAATTCGACCTACCCGAGCCGCTGCCGCTCGTAGTCATCTCCAGCATGTCCCTGATGGTGACGCCGTCCAGGATCGGCCGGTCCGGCGCGTCGTGCGAGTCGTCCGGGTAGTGCCTGTCCCGCTTCTTCCTCTTGCTGCGCCGTATGTGATAGATGAGCATTACGATCACGCTCAGGCCGACTATCGGGCCTGCTATCGCTACGGCGATCACCCAGTTGATCTGCGACTTGCCGCCGCCACCCGACGACACTTTTCGGCAAGCAGGATCGGTCCGGTTATTATTATATTCGCGCGGCTGGCAGCGCCGAGTGATCGACGGGGACACGTCAATTTCGACCAGGCGACCCGCGAGGCGAGTTCAACGCGGGGATATATACGCGCGGACGTCTCGCCTCACGAGTCACGCGTAAATCGCGCAAGTCGCGCAAACATGCGTGCAAAAAGCGGTCCCCCCGTGCATCGCTCTCTTACGTAACGAGATAAACAGGCGTAGAACTCGCGAGGCACCGGCTGCTCGTCTATTTCCGACGATGATCGAGGCGGTGTCCCTCTCATCATTTCGGCGCGGTGGTGGGCGCCTTAGCCCACCGTGAATTCACGCCCGGTGGGTTCACAATGGCGGCGAGATGAGAGAGAAATCGAACACCGTCGGATCCGCGAGAGGCAGCCGGCGCGACGCGACGGCTGAGTGTGTGCGTGCAGCGCGAATAGGTCGAAATCAACATCGCCCGTTCGATTCGAAAGCGCTTCGAGCAGGCGCTTCCCGGGTAGAGATCTCCGGGAAGAAAGGTAGATGTAGGCGTGAAGCGCGAGAAGCGAAAAATACACGGAAGCCAGGCAACACACGCGAACACAGGCAACAGAAACCGGCTGGATGAAGAGAACACCAGGCGAGCACGTTGTTAGAGGCGAGCAAACAGATATATGTACATGTGTGTGCGTTGCGATTAACAAGAGGGGCTCTCGATGCAAGAAGGAGACAGGATTATCGTCGGTCGATGCGCGTCTCGTTTCGCACAAACTGCTCTCGTCCCGCCGACCAGTTGACATTCGCTTCGGTGCAGGCAGAGCGGTTAGTCGTAGTCGTAGGGAAATTTGCCGAAAGTCTCTCTTCCTGCGAAAATCGGCCGGAGCGCGTGTCGACGTGCTGCGACCGCGGGCCTCAATGACTCGTCGGCGAGCTCGAATCGCTGATCAAACACGGATCTCAGCGAGCGACTTCGTGGCTCGGCCGAATGAACACCTCACGAGCTCGAACTGGAGTTTCATGCTCTTTACGTAACGTTGACCGATATCAACGAAGCCAGTTGCGAGCGAGAACGGTCGTTCTCGAGGCGACTTCTCCAAGTCTGAAGTCGCCGTCCTCGATCGCGGAATGCCTCAGCTGCTAAACCCGAAGTGCGCTCGTTCGCTTCACGCGATGTAACTCGAGCTCACGTCGCGATAGATCGTGTTACGGATAGATGTTACGCGCGTCTCATCGACGAGTCTTCTCGAGACGTCCGCGGCACGTTGAGGCACGTACGCGGGGTAGGGGGGGAGGGGTTGCACTTACCTGCTGAGTCGCGAGGTCGCGAGGAGCGTCGTGGCGTGTTCTCTGCCGCTTCCGGGGCGATACACAGGTGCTGTTAATCGGTCAGTCGGCGAAAATCCACACAAAACTGTTACCACAGAAAGCGGCGTCCGAAGGCGCCGGCCGGTATCGCAATCGGCCGAGGTAACCCGAACGAGACGCGCGTGTCTCGCGTGCGACTCGCGTCGATTCCGATAACTCGCGACTAGACCCTCCATGCGGAGACGCCATGGCCGGTGCCCAGAAGGAAACGAAAAAGAAAAGAAAAGAAAAGAGACGCGAGAGGAGCCCGGCATGTTAATGCAGCGAGTCCCGTGTTAAACATGGCCAAGCCATACGGTGTGACGCGAACCGCCCCTTTCGGCATCACAAACGGGAGCAACGAGCTGGACCTGGAGAGGAAGTCGCTTCCGCGTCGAGATCCCCCCCCTCCTCCGCTCTAAGGCGGCCGCCCGGTGTATCATAAGCGATCGCCCCCGCGCCCGCGAGCGTCGAGGAGCGACAAATAAAAGCTGGACGGCCGCGGAATTCAATCGACGGGGAGGCGGGGGGAGGGGGAGGGGGGGGGTAAACGAGGGGCACCGCCTTGTTCGCCGGAGATGTGCACGGGACGAATCGCGCGGTACGGTCGGATGTTGATCCCAGTGAAGACTTTAATGAGATGACAGGCATCACACGGAGCGAGGGACCGATGAATGATCGCACATTTGTGTGTCCGACGATGATCAGCACCCCAGAAGAGAGCAATCGGAGAGTAACGCGGCGACACATGTGCACCTTGCTGACACTGTCGTCGTTGTCGAGGGAGCGTCGTTTCGCGGAAGCGCGTCCGCTTAATTAACAATTAACCCGGCTGTTTCGTCGCATAATGCTCCGCCAGTTTTTGCACGTCACCAACGGGAGCCTCGTAGAATTTATAATGCCGATGTTCCTCGGGCTGCACGGAACGCTGGATGTCTGTTGATTCGCAAAAAGCGCATCGCTGAATTTTTCCTCGACGAAATGTATCCTTTTGTTTTCGTAGAATTAAAAATACTTTTCGTTTACAGCTCGGGACGATTCTCTCTCGTACGGTCGAACTTCGCTCAGTCCTCCTCGACGAAATTACACGAGAAAGTACACCAGGATGTGACGATTTCGCAAATTCGGTAACGCCACGCGTACGAATCTCGGCGACATTGCAACCGATGTGGCTCAATGCGAAAGAGTCTGCCGCATATCGACGTTCGATAAATCCACGTCCGGGGCTGATTAAACCGCCACGTGAGCGTCGAATTCCACGAGCGCGCGCGCGCGTACCAATATGAAATCGCCGCTGAGCCCGATAACCGGCCGTCCTCGCGGATTTATTGGGGCACGTATAATCGATGAATATCGCTCGCCGGCCCGTCCAATCATCCCTTCGTCCAAATCGCGTTGCGTACGCCTCGTTACTTTGTACTCTCTCGCGGCCGGCCGTCCGCGTTCCATTCGCGCCGGCAAATTGCACCCTACCCCTTCCCACGCCTCCCCCCTTGCCGCGGCATCCACGGTGACGACGACGACGACGACGACGACGACGACGACGACGACGACGGCGACGATTCCACTTTCATCCCGGTCCGCCGAAATCCGCCGGATCCGCGTGGATATCGATATGTCACGCGACTGCTTTCCACGACTGCTCTACATTCGCGGAGAACTCGAGTCGTGTCGTGTAAATAGACGAGCAGAATCGCGATAGACAAGTGGGGCGTATCACGGAACTGCCCGTCCTTGTTTTCGATCGTTTCACGCTTTCATCCCTTTCTCCTCCTCCCTCCTCATTCCTCGCTATCCTCCGTCGTGCGAAACTTGTTTGAGCGCACGTAGACTCCCACGCATAAAGCCCGGAGTTGTTTTCTCTTTTTTTCGCCGGCAAGAAGAGAACATATAATAATTTCATAAGCTAATTTGAAATGTGAAAGAGCGTACGGTGCGTGCGGCCGCGGGAGAGATTGCAAACGCGCGGTTATAATGCGACACGCAGGAGTGGATGTGTGCTCTAGGATTAACATATTCAATTACACGCCGAGCGATTACACAGTCCGCGTGGAATGCCCTCGGCTTTTTTATCAGATCTTCTCTCGGCATTGCAAAATTCTCCGGTACATGAGCGGCATTATCTTATCTGCTCGTAACGTACACAGAGTGCGTTATCTGGTCGCGTCCCCTCTTCGTCGTGCGAATTGGAGGTGCGTGAGAAAGCACGATATCGGTGACATCACGCGCTTGCAAGCCATTAGAGGAGGCAGCTTTTATCAATTTTTCGTGCAACGAAATTTCGATCGTAATATTTTTTCTCAGCGCTACATCACGGACTGAGCGAAAACAGAAGGCAATATCGTTTCGGAGAGTGTTATCTCCGATCCGTCGCATTTAGCGCAAGACGAGAGAACGCAAATTTTTCGCGCGCGTAAGTCGGAGGAATCTGGCTAAACTGCACAACACTCTGCTAAATAATCTTAAGTCGATTCAGCGAGTCGACTCGAATTTCACGTCGACAGGCAGACGTTCCGTGTAACGCCGAAATGTTAAGCTTGTTAAGTGCGACGAGTGCGTGACACCTCGCGTCTAATGTGCAGCATCACTTTACCCCGAGCGTCATTCTGCATTATGCAACGAAACAGCAACGCCGTCCTGCGTGTTGCGGCGACAAAATGTCGAATTTTATTCGGCAAAAAATTGCCCGACAGTGGAAAAACACGATAAACGTGATCGCGATAGAAAGAGAACCGTAGATTGGTGGCAGCTATTCTGTCCGTTCCTTGTCTTGTCAGCTCGGCACAAGCAAGATAAATGGCACGAGAACGTGAAACGCGGGCGAACACACAGAGGTGGACACACACACACAGAGAGAGAGAGAGAGAGAGAGAGAGAGAGAGAGAGAGAGAGAGGAGGGGAGGGGAGGGGATACAGAGGTGTGAAAAGTGCGAGCTTAGACAATTCACAAAAGCGTAGAAAATCGATAATCGATACCCCGCTTTTCTCATCACTGTCGCGCGCGTGCCACGCCAAGGTCGCCATCGGAAAAGGTCCTTTTTCCCGCCGATTCGTGAACCGCAAAACGAGAAGCTGAAAGCGTCGCAATTCGTCGGACATTGACGGACTCGCGTTCACGACGAGAGGGGAAAAAAAGAGAGAGAGAGAGAGAGAAGGAATGCGCGCGATTCTAGCAGAAAGGTAAGCAAGAATCGCTAACGGGAGAGAGAAACGCAAATCGGAACGTAGCGTAAGACAAAGTTGGATAATTATGGAAATGAAAACACACATTCGTACCGAGTTTGAGAAGTACGCGCGGAAACTAGAAAGGACAGGTTCGTCGTAAAGTCTGTCCGAACGTCAGAGATCCGTCATTTTTCATCTCGAGTGCCATCGAAATGCAATCAGCGCCTCGAAAAGATTTCGCGGATCGCGTCACTCGTCAGGATTCAATGGCTTATTGGAATCTGCACTTCGCCGTCGTCTTTTCCGAGAAATTCGGCGATACGTTTTCCTCGTCGCACTGGCGGTTGCACGATGCGCTACGAATCGAGAGTCCGTTTTCGAATGCGGTTACGTAAGTTGCTGTGGTGTGACTACGCACTCGATGCAAAATTTACCAAATCATCGTGAAACAAAGAAATAGATAATGTAACGTTTGAGAACTGCCGCTCGGTCGTGCGCAGTCAGTCGACGTTTCGACGTCAAAAAAAGGAAAAGAAAGAGAAAATAACATTCCTTAATCCACAGCGATGACGATTAATCAAAGCTGCGCGTTGCGCTCCGTTATCGGCACCGCGCTGTCTAACCAGGAAAATCTCACCCGACATTCGCCCGACGAATTATTTATTCACCTCTGCCGAACTATCGCGCGGAATTACACGCGATTACAACCACCACTAGGTTACACATATAAATCATCGTCTCGCCGCTAGTCAGCTATTACACAGGCGAAAGCTATCGTATCACGGACGGCTGATCTATTCAAGCCGAACAAAGCGGAAAATGTGCCGCGTATCGTTCCGCGACGGTGAATATTATTCATGTCGCGAAATGAGCGATCCGAATTGTTCGCGTTGAAAGATTTTTATTCGCCGACGAATTTTCGACTATCGGAGGTGAGAGAAACCGGCGAGAAATTCGTTCCGCAGTTGTGATTCATCGCGCGACGCGCAAAACTGTCGTGACGTGAGAATTCTGTTTGTATGAGAGAAAAAGACAGAGACAGAGAGAGAGAGAGAGAGAGAGAGAGAGAGAGATAGAGCCAATTGAAAACTAATTATATTTGCAAATGTTATTATATAATGAAGACGAGGGATATTCCGTTGTTAACAGCTTCGCGATGACAACAATTTTGCTCACGCATAAAAACGCAGACGTTATAAATTTTAACGATCGAAAGATGAAGCTGTCTTGAGCGATTCATTCCTCTCCGCGAGAGGACTTTATTCTCTCTGCAATTCGCCGCGCCGTTACGCGACGTCGAGGACGCTTCGTTTATTACGGATCTCGCCATTGAATCCTTGCCGATTTACTCTCGTTGCCTTATGCTCTCTCGGGAATCTCGTTCGACGGGAGAACGAACTTCGCGGGACCAGCGCGACCTTGGCGGCGAGGAATCCCGCGGCAGCGCTTTAGTTGCGATTTATTGTACCTCGTGCGAGGTGGTTCGCGAAGTGAGAGTACGGCCCACCTCTGGACTCGTGAGGAGGAAAGAAGGGCCCTAGATCGCGATTGCAGTAGTCGAATTGATCGCAACAGGCGACCTCGAATCGGATGCCATCCTGACCGCGTAGTGTACTGTTCGTGGTGCACCAAACGGAGTAGTCGGTGTCCGGGAAGAAGTGCGTCTTATTGTAACACCTGGGAAAACAATTGACATGACGAGTACTGCCGCGCGAAATGTCGCGGTTCGCGTCGCCGCGCCGGGGAGAGAGAAAAGAAAGAAAAAAAAAAAAAAAAAAAAAAACAGAAGGAGCGGGGGCAGAAGTGATCACGACAAAGAAATCACGAAAAAGAAAAAAGAAAAGAAAAGAAAAAAGAGAGCCCAAATATTCTCTCCGCTGTCATGGTTGCCGCAAAATGCTAAGACCTCGCGGACGACATCAGTGCGCTCGCACAGACATCGCGGATGACGTAGATAGGCAATTAGCGAGTCACCGAAGGCGAGATTTTAGTGGAGCGATGTCTGAGAGATAGACAGTGGTGGGAATGCTAATGGCAATCTTTTAAACTAGGTAAGTGTACTACACACGAAGTTTAATAAGCTGTAGAGGAGAAGAAGTGATTAGCGTACAACTAGATCCGATTGCACCGGCGTCCCCGATTGCGCGCCCGATCGCGATTATTAACTTGACTTCTCTATTTGCGTTATAGCAGACGTTGCAATTTAGAGGCGTAATCGGGAGCTTCGGTGCGATAACTTGTAAAGAGACAGATAATCGCTAATCAAAGAGGCAGCCAGCCGACACCGCCGGTGCAATTGAGTCTTCAGGAGAGTCCGTATGTGTCCAAGGAAAATCTGTGGAAGTGAAGAGGACTGGTGACATTTTATTTTATATGGCCGCGTTTTCGAAACGTACGCAATTTTCGGTTGATGTGTGTGTGAGAGACCAAGTCTCTCGTTTCTGTCGTTGTGACATGAAAAATAAACATTTGAGATATTTGGAGCAACTTTTATGACAACTCTTGGCAACACCCTACACATTTTCCTTAATCATATATAGACTGATGTGGGTACACAGTGTTTCGTAAAATTCCCATCGCAAGACGTACACATGACGTATAGAATTTAAATTAATTTAAATCTCAAGAGTTTTAACATTTAACTTTTAACTAGCGACTGAGTTCTGACTGTGCAATTTCCGGGAGGTGAACGTCGAGATTCAACGCAGATAACATCAATGCTGCATTAAAATCTGGAATATCTTCAAAGTCTCTCGATGCGAGTCTCACGATACACCTTGTCGCAACAATCGAAATTCACACGGACATCGACTGGGAGAAAAAAAGTGTTTCGTCTTACTACTCGTAAAGAGGAAAAGTATATCGTCTCGATGCGCTTGAAATTCCATAGAGACGCTCGGCAGTATAAAACGATAAACAGCTACATAAAGTCAGAAGGCATGCGGAGCTAAAGATATTGTTTCATGGACCTCTTCGATCTTCGATCTTTAACCCTCGCAATTTCGAGAAGGATTCCCACAAAGATTTAGTTTTTGACTTGCGAGGGTTAACGACAAACTTGGCATGAGATGTACTTGCGAAAGATGGATTAATACTGATGTGTAATTCCAATGAAAACGATCGACTCTCAACGACTTTTTCTCTCGCGCGGTTTTTTTCTTTCTTTCGCTCGAGATCTCACATCAATCACGTCGGCTCGTTCTTCGACGTAATTACGTGCCGGATCGTCAAGTGTGTTTAACATTATTGCAGAAGCTGATAAAGAAATAGAGAGTACACCGTGAGTTCTACAGAGAATAGTCCGGGTGAGTTGCTACTTATTTTATACGAGAAGGGCTAAAGAGTGGAAAAATAGATACGAAAAGAGATATTTACAAAAGCCACACTCTGTTTCTCAAGGGCAGCGCGCTATTGGGGTGTTACTACAAGGTAGGTACTATCGTTATAGAGATAGATAGAGAGATAGAGAGAGAGAGAGAGAGAGAGAGAGAGAGAATGCAGAGAAGAGAGCTGTGGCAACATGCTACCGGTGCTTTCCGAGTTCACTCGGGAGGACTTCCGGTGTTGTGGGATGCGCGCTCGTAGATAAAAAAATACAGAAGGAGATTGCCTCGAAGCGACTACGATATCTCCGTAGGTGGCAAAATTTCTCTCACGATCGCGTTTTTCTATCTTTAATTTTGTTTTTTCTTCTTCCAAATGCTGCGTTGCGCTGAGTACGCCGCGTGTTTCGTATTATCTTATCCGTCCGGTCTCGATTACGAATCGCGTCGTGTTTTTCTATTGTATTTATTATCTATTCCACGCCAATTTCGATACCGATCTTCTCGAATTTCGTTATCTCTGGCAATGAATGAGCAATTCGTAATGATATCGCGCCGCGTCGGTGCCGGCGCGGCACCTGTAAATACCGCGGGGCGTGTGCTGCTCGGGAGGAACCGAGGAAAATGGAAGAGTAACGGAAGATGATGGAAGTGTTGAACGATTATCGATCACGCTTATCTGAACCCGCTCTTTGTTGCGCGAGTTGCCGAAAACGAAATCCGTCTCTCCGAACGGAATCGGTGATAATTCCACCAGCTTTCGCGATACAACGTGAGACGGTGGGACGGACGTTCCACAAAATAAAGTCGAATGCGATGCACAGTGGTACATGTACCGGTACAAGGTGTTCAAGCGAAACGACATATTGCCACCGATATTGATTAGCGCGCACCGTACACGCTTTATATAGTCCTTTAATTTCGCGTCTCACTGCGTGCGCCGTCGCCGAAGGCGACGGCGAGACTCTAAAATACTCCATTGCGGTTCAAGAAACCGCGATATAAAATAACCAGACACGTTGCGCTTTATTGGACGCAATGAACGGCGAACGAGAGAGTGCAACGTGCATCCGCGAATGCGCGAGTAGCGCGCATCGCGTGTGCAAGTCTGCGTGTAGCGTGGTGCAGCGCCGCGGAAGCTTTCTACTCCGCACACAATATATATATATATATATATATATATATATGTATATGCAGTGCACATGGCATTACATGGATATAAAAATATACACAGTGTACCAAAACCGGACGATAATTTAAGAGAGTCCTTTGCCCGATCTGGAGGGATCTTTGTCTCTGATGGAGAAGGGAAAAAAAATATCAAAGGAAAAGTATGTCTCAATTTTGAAAAGGGATTGGAAACAACATATGACGCTTCATTGATTAAAAGGCTGAAATAAGTAGCGAAAAAACGTTATTATTTATTGAATCCTCATACGAATTCTAAACGATTTTTAACGAATTTTAAACGAATCTGATACGAATCTTGCACGAAGGGAACCGCGACGACGTTTAATCGTTAGGATGTCATTGTCGTTAAAGACTAGATTTTTATTACTTTAGATGATTTTTAGATGATGCACTCGGATGATTTTTTATTTTCGTTAACGCCAAGTCGGTTCGCGACTCGAGCAGATCCGCTCCTGAGGTGTCGTCGGAACATCCTGTACGTATGTGTATGCACAGATAACGGGGGCGAGAGCGCGACAGAGAGCGTGTCAGAGCAAGTTCAGAGACGACGCGAGCGCGAGCAAGACAAAGGAATGTACATTGCCGGAGACCATGACGTAACGCATTATTCCGACCATAAAAAATGGTCCGCGACTTGGCTAATTCCTCGACTACATGAAAACCCTCTGACCGGTGCTTGAACCATTTCCATTTCCATTCCGTAACAGATGCGCTGGTAAACGCACACGCTAGCCGCCCTCCATGTTCTCCCTCCCTCCCTCCCCCGCGCCTCGGCAAGACCTTTCGGGGCGATCGATTATTTCAAGAAACGGATGTAATTTTTAACGTCGCGTGAGATATCTCGCTGCTGTCTCGCTCCCCAGGGTTATACGTCAGTTAAAAAGTATTGAACCGATTTATTCATTCACGCGTAAATCACGTAGAAATGGGATCGACCTATCAGGATCAAGCAAGAGCGAGCCCACGAAGGAAAATTCAATAATTCGCGGGAGAGCTCGCGCAGGAATTCGCGGACCCGCGTCGAGTCTCGCCTGGAGTTGCCCCTTTAACGTTTAAGTAGTCGCGCGGGTCAGGTCAAACTGATCTCAAACTTAGAAACAATTCCTTTGTACTGCGCACAGAGTCGGCGCTATTTCGTCGTCCTTGTTCTCTCGTTAATCTCAATTCACTTCCGAGAACCTGTGCGCGATGTAACACGAATGTTAAATTCGTGCGAAAGCTCGCGGGAGATCAAACATTTTCCAATCGCCAAGTAACCCAAAGTAACCCAAAGTAAACGAACAACTACTGTACTCTCCGGCAATGTGTCGCTTTCGACTCGCCGCGCAGATCGGCATACAGAACGATGACAGTAAAACAGTTGTAATCATTCCGAAGTAGGAAAGGCAGCGAGAGCGACGTACAGGCGTCGTGTCGCGCGGAAACAGGCGTAGTCAGAGAAAGAGAACAAGAGACAAAAACAGAGATACATAAAAAAAAAATAAAGAGAAGAGAGAGAAAAAGAGAGGTAAAGAAGAGAGTAGAAAAAGGAGAGTAGCAGCAAAAGCCCGTGCCACCTGCAGAGTTTTCGTAACTTCCAGGTCTGTTTGGATTGTACCTTCTTTGTTGCGAGGATGCAGCTGGGGTTTCAGATACCGATTGCAATAATCCTGATTGCAGCACTCGATGACGAAGGTCATGTTTCGCGAGTCGCTCGTCATGCAGAGGATGAACGGCTCAGGCTGCGACGACGACAGCTGTTTATGCACGCACCTTCAAGCCGATTTTGCACCAGTTTCAGAAAACGAGATCGCGAACGTGGAACTCGGATTTCGATGCGACGCGCGTCGCGTCGCGCACGATAGATCGCGAGGCATCGAATAGGGGTAGAAGGGGCGGGGGGGGGGTGGTGGTTCGATGGGGATGGCAGGGGGAAACGTTTCGTGCGGTTTCGAGGCAAAAACCGACGCGAACGGGAATCCGATCCTACCGGTAGCACGACAAAAAGGGATTAGCGCGATTGTAAGGCTGCGTTCTCCGGTCTCCGGTCTCCGATCTCCGATCTCCGGTCGCCGATATCGCGCAATTATCTTCTACGCCATTTGATATGATTAGAGACGCGCTATTAACGGGCTAAGCGTTCACACACCGGCCGGGCCGGCCGATCTTGATCTCTCGTGCCCG